CGCCGCCGCCGCCGAATCGTCAGTGGTGTCAGTCCCAGCTACAGCCATACTCTTAGACGGAGCTGTAGCTGCGGCCCGGATCGACAATGCAGGCTCAGCGGCTGCAGGTGCGGTTTCGCTATGGTGGATGATGGTGCGTCCGCCAGCGGAGGCGGCGGCGCCGCCGCCGCTGGCAACAGCGACGGCATCCTCCTCCTCTTCCTCCGTATCCCCCTCCGCTAGGATGGCTTTCTGGCGATGACCCTCTTGAAGCTGGCGCACAAAGCTGACCGTACGGCTGTTGGCGGCGCCGACGCCGCTGCCGCTACCACAGTAACGCGGCTGTTCGTACGAATCTCCGTACAGCTGGTACGGCACCAACACCTTTTCAATGAACCAAGTCCATTCGGTGCCTTGAACTCGGTCTTCCAGAAGCTGCATCAACCGTTCCTGCATGAGTAAGGTTTGGCACTACGTTAGGGTGTTTTGCGCCCTACAGCTCATTTCGACCTGCACGCCACTGCTAGAAGTTACAATACATGGGTTGCGTGGGTTTTAGATAAAGCCCAATTAAAAACCCAATCTAAAACCCAGGCTAAAACCCACCTGCACAAGCGCCCCCGACTGCGGATGCTCCCTGCAGGCCGCAGCCAGGTCCCTTCCCGCCAAAACCACCAGGTCTGTAGCCCGGCCAGCTACTGCCGTGACAGTCTGTTTCCTAGCTGCCTGATCAGGCAACAGCGCCAACTCGCTGAAGGCCTCTCCAGGCAACACCAGGCGATGGAGGTCGCCCTGGAGGGAGCGGAGCAGCACGGCGCCCTGCGGTAGCAACGCAGTAGCAGGCGGCTTTAGCAGGCGGTTTCGGAGGACAGTTGGTGGTTATTAATATGGTGTTTTGGTTTGCAGCGGCAGTAGCGCCGCAGAAGACGGATAGCTATGGGCAGTAGCTGCAGATGTAGCAGGTCGCTATAGCAGTAGCTGTAGGCTGTAGCAGGTGGTTGGCGCACAGGGCGCCAAGGAAGGTGCGCCAAGTGGTCCTGGCGGCTGATTGCAGGTAGTGGTGGTAGGGCAGGCAGGCGGCAGGTGGCGGATGAATCCTGACGGGCGGCGCACTCCCACTGCTGCCGCAACTGCTATAGGTCGCAGCCTCCTGCCGCGCATTCAAAGAGAACAAAACACGCACATACACGCATACCACACATGCACGCACACACATACGCACACACGCACAACCACAACCACATACACACACGCATGTTACGCACATACATACATACACACACAGGAAGCACGCACCTTTCGGACCAGATACATATGGTGCCCCGAGTCCCCCAAGCGGAATATCTCCTCGCCTGGAGTCACAGCAACCAGGCTCAGCCGCGCCTGTATGTATGTATGTTGTTACAGGGTGGTTAACTTCGCCAGCGGCCCCCTTTCCCGGGGCAGTCCCTGCTCTCCCCTGCTAGAGGGGCACCCTAATCCGTCACCCCATCCGACTTCAGAATGTATTCGTTGGGTTCGGCAACTCACCACCAGCATCCAACCAAATCTAGCGGATCAACGGCGCATCAACTTAGTTCCTGGTCAGCTCGCAAGTTGATATTATCACGTCCTACACCGTCCATATGATGGGGGGCCACCTCCCATTTCATCACTCCTCAAACACCCGAGGAGCCGGCAGGCGGATTTGAACCCGGGTCGACTGGGTCGACTGGGAGCAGAAGTCAGGCCTTAACCTCTGCCAGCCGCCTGCCTGTATGTATGTATGTAAATATGTATGTATGTATGTGGGGGCAGCGGCTGGGTATCATGCAAAATTCAAGGAAACAAATGTCAACATCAAAACGGTCGAGTTGGTGACAGTTGGTCGGAGTAAACGGAGAAGGTAGGGGAGTAAAAGGGCGGTAGCAGGGTGTGAAGTAGACAGTTTGATGCGACCATTATCAACCGCTCCCAACCGCTCCCAACCACTCACAGGCCTAAAACCCTATAACCCTAAAAACCCTACACCCCCCCCGCCCCACCCCCCCTCGCCCCACCCAACAGCCCCAACCCCGGACCTGAAGGGCGGCCATGAAGGGTTCATCACAGCCGGCGAACAGCGGCAGGCGGAGGAAGGGGTCGCTGAACAGACACCACTTGATGTCCTCAAGCAAGCCACGGGGCAATTCGGCAAGCAGGGCGTCAGTCTGCGTGCGTAACGTGTAGTCGTGTGTGGGGGGTGGGGTGGGGTGGGGGAAAAAGGGCGTGCGGTGCGGTGGGGGAAGGTAAACAACTGAAGGGGGGGAGAGAGGAGGTGAAAACGGAGGGCGGAGGAGGTGGGGGGGGATTCCTGGGAAACGCGGGGGACAAGGGCGGGAAATGACACACATACACACACGTGCGCGGGAAGAGGCACGCACGAAGGAAGCACGTGCACGTGTGTGTTATGTGTGTACACAATCATGCTGAAACGGCGCACACACATACATACATACATACATACATACATACATACATACATACATACATACATACATACATACATACATACATACATACATACATACATACACACACACCGGGATGTTCGTGTCGCGCCAGGAATTCGTAATAGGCCGCCACACGGTCCCGAAATTGCTGCGGGGCGGCCATGTAGCGGAGCGCGTCTGCCACCACGCTGGCCTTGACCTTGTAGCGACTGGACAGCGCATTCAAATTGGCGGCCAGGACTGCCATGTTGCTTACCTGCAAGTTAATGAGCAAGGAAAAAGAAAGACGCAGCTCGCGAAAGAGGGTGCATCTTGCAGCGGATTATTTGTAGCGGTTTGTTTGGTTCGCGGTTGTTTTGTTCGTTAGCAGTTGGTAGGATAACGGAATTGAAATAGCCGTTGTCTTCTTTTATATTTTATGGAAATATCCCGCACGTGTGTGCGGAACTTGTAACTTGTAATTCGATAGCCCACGAAATATATCCGATCATGGCCTTGACATCAAATTCGTGGAGAATAAATTGACGCCAACATTTTCAGAATTCTCGTTTATGCCCTTATGCTTATACATGATAGGATAACAGCAATTATTACCTTGTAGCTAGTCCTCAATGCGCACATGTCCTCAACAAGCAACAATTTTTTCTAGAGAAATCTGACCACCTTCTTCCTAAACACAAACACCAAAAGTGCCCTATTGATTACTCTACCCTATTTTTAAGACTCCTGTCTTTACACCACCACTCCCAGGCACAACCCAAAGTGGCCTTAAAACCGGTCCTAAAACCCTAAAACCCCGCCGCTTTCACCCTAAAACCCCGCCGCTTTCACCCTAAAACCCCGCTCACAATGAGCGCGTAAATGACCGCCCCGATGATGAGCATCATGATAAAGAAGGCTCTCTCGACATTGTTGTTTGCGTGGAGGTTGTCGGAGCCCACCACCAGTACGAATGAGTAGTACAGCGCCAAGCTGAATTCGTTATTAAGTAGCAAGGTAGGCAGGCAAACAGTTAGGTGGTTATGGAGTTGGTTCGGTAGTTGGGGAGTTCGTTGGGTAGCTAGGTGGTTGGACGAATGCCGGGATGAGTATGAAGATATGCAAGTCGCGATGCGGACTGTGCAGAGATTGGCAGGTGATTGGCGGTTAGTTGTTGCGGTTGACACGTGCATGTTACAAGTTCGGCAAAAATGGGGGGGGCGTCCGAAAAAGCCGGGGACCCCCCATGGACAGTCCATTTATATGTATATATATGTGTGTATGTATGCGTGTGTATGTGTGTATGTGTGTATGTGGTTATGTGTGTGTGTGTGTGCTACATGGTTGGGGGTGCGTGACCCCATACCTGTAAAACTACCCATACGAGCCGAAGGCCAAAGGGCAATATCTATACGCCTACAAGCCACGGAGAACAGGAAACACCGCACAATCAGCCCAGAATAGCGCCCAAAAGGGGTAACTGAGTTGCGGTGAGCCCACATACGTTCCAATTATAGGCTGGGCATTCCAATAACACGTGTTGTTCATCCTCGATTTGGCTATTAGTACCACAACAGCGGCAAAACCGCTGCCCCCTGGGGACGTGGTACTTGCCCCTTCGTGCTCAGTTTGCCTCCAAAGCCCAGCAACATAAACGAAACTGCATTAGCTTACGATGCGCTAAACGAGGAATGAAAACCTTAGCATGTGCTGGCCATGTATGTGTTTATGTATTTATGTGCGTATGTGTGTGAAGGTTACAAGTATCTGACCGGGCCTGACACTGGCCAGAGGCTGCTGCCCAGCAAGACGGAAAGACCGCCTAAGCGCTCTCCCGCGGACGGGAGAGGGGCGCTAGAGGGGCCTCTGCCCCCTCCTAAGCAGCCAAGAGCCGCAGGTCCGCTAGCTCCACTCTCCTCCCCCCCGGCGGGGGGAGACGGGTCGCACGCTCTCACGCTCTCATGAGTCAAGGCTCCGTCACGCGAGTTTGCGCACTGCGCCTGAAACACGAAACAAGACGCCCCTCTCCATCCCGGGCCTGATTTAGCTCTTGGAGTGAGGGCTCACTAAGACACAGGAAACCCGAAAGCTCGGTGTCTTACCCAATTCTCCGTTGCGGGGAAGCGGGCGAGGCGGGGCGCAAGAAACCCGTGCTTACCACCGGTATGTGTATGTATGTATGTATGTATGTATGTATGTATGTATGTATGTATGTATGTATGTATGTATGTATGTATGTATGTATGTATGTATGTATGTATGTATGTATGTATGTATGTATGTATGTATGTATGTATGTATGTATGTATGTATGTATGTATGTATGTATGTATGTATGTATGTATGTATGTATGTATGTATGTATGTATGTATGTATGTATGTATGTATGTATGTATGTATGTATGTATGTATGTATGTATGTACACATCGATCCGGGCCTGACGCTGGCCCGGGGCACCTAACCTTAGACCCCAACGGGAATAATGACCGCCAGGAAGCACTCTCCTCCTAGCTACGGCGGGAGGAGAGGGGCGAGAGGGGCCGCAGTCCCCTCCTGCTCGACCGAGGGCGTGCGAACCCCCGGTGTCTTTCCACCTCATGTACGTTTGTGCAAAATGCAAACTCTAATCCTAAGCCTTAAATGCTCCCCACACCACCTGCACCTCACGCACCTGTACTCCGTAATGATGCTGGTGGTGGTGGTTGTACCAGCCTTCCGCACTTGGTCGAAGAGCCAGGGCCAACCTGGGGTCAACAGACCCAGTCAGGCAGCCAGCCAGGCAGGTGAGGCAGGTAGGTCGGCATGTCGGCAGTCACAGATAAACTGACAGACAGACCCACTGAAAAAAGCCCCATTCCCCATATTCACCCCCACCCTCCCGCCCATAATGTCATATGCACACATGCATGCACATACGTACACGCATACACACATATACGCATACACACATGCACACATACATGCACACATACATGCACACATACATGCACACATACATGCACACATACATGCACACATACATGCACACATACACACGCACGGGCATTCCCCACCTCGCAGCCATTCACTGAGGCCATGCCAGGTACAACACGTCCAGTGAGCCACCAGCATCATCAGCACGAACAATCGACCAAGCCGCAGGTAGTTGGCGTAACGGAAACGGTCAAGAAAGCGAAGCAGCCTGTTGGTGTACAGTGGGTGGTGGTGGTACACAGTACGGAGGATTGGAGGAGGCACGTCAAGGTTCGGATTGCATCTCGGATTGCATCGTTGTCGTGGAATGAATCCGTATAAAGTGGATTCCGTTCTCCGTACTTGGATTTATATGGAAATCCAGGGATTTCAAATTCAGATCTTGCGCAAGCCTGACAAATCCCGTGAGATCTTCCTCGTACAGATTTTCCTAAATCTCGGCAGGTGCCATTGCACATATAGATCCAAAAAGATTATTAAGCAAAGGTGGATTGTCGTACCTGACAAGTTTGAGCAGCCGTACAAGACGGAGCAACGTCAACAAGGAGGCCACGTGGGAGTTCTTGTCACCGGTCAGCATCGCCTACATGTACGGCATGTGTAATGTGTAATGTGTAATGTTACAGAGTGGGAGGCTTCTGGGCCGCTTTATCACATTGTCAGTTCTAGATCATTTATCACCTTATAGCACCATCCACCACTACCACACTGTACTTCGCCATACGAACTGTAAGTCCAAGGCGGCGGATCCAGCCTTCAGGGACCCCTCCTCATCCATTCACCCGAACACCCGAAGAGACGGAGGGTTCGGCAATCGCCACCAATCCAGCGTGCGAATCTGGTCCATCAACTGTGACCTCAACTCCACATCTCAGCAGCTAGCCATAATCTCGCGCTCCCGACTAATTCGGGGGTCCCGACTAACATCTCTAATTCGGGGGTCCCGACTAACATCTCTAATTCGGGGGTCCCGACTAATCTCGCGCTCCCGACTAATACGGCATGTGTACGGACGGCACACGAGGGCCTTTCAACGCCAGAAGAAAGGCGAATGGCACTCCTCCCATCCAGCTCTCGCAACGGATAAAAGGTGCGCGTTAACATTAATGCTCTGTACACAGCTTTTTCTACTTCTTTAGAGTTAAACTGAACTTTTCCTTTCAACCAGGCGAAATTTTCATCTTTTTCTTTTTAAGTTCTGCAATATAATCCACGAAGATGGGGTAAAAGATATTTGGCAAGATAATAAGGAAGCATCCCTCCCCTAAAACTCCTGTGCCTCACCCCATCTCTCGAAGCCCCTCCTCCTACCCAACCTACCGTGTATACGGGTGCTCGCCTGGTGCATTTCGTGTATTGGGTTTTAGTAAGGTCATCTCCTAGGGTTTTAGGGTGTCTTCTAGTGTTTTAAAGGTTTTCCCGTCCTTTCCGTGACCTCTCACCCCTCTAGATCAGGACAGCCTCCGCTGCCCCGTACGAACTTTTACATTTTTTAAAATCACTTGGGGCAATAAAACTTGATTTCCTTTCAAAATTACAGTTCGCTCGTTTGTAAGCGGTAAAATTGTTAGAAACGTTTTTTATAATTTTGGATTGCGGACGACCATTTACATGTAGCTGACTGCAGTGGTGGTCAAAGTTTACACAACCCTACGTCCCCTCCGGAGCCGCTCCAGGATCCCCTCCCCTCCCCTGTCCCCTCCTCTCCCTGACGGCCCCCGCTCACTCGCAGTACTTCGGTCCAGGGAAGGGAAGAAACCAAATCCAGGGGGAGCATTGTACGGCAGTAGTGTTGGGCAATACGGCGAGTGTCGCGAACGAGCTCGCCTGTTTCGCTGATGTAGGCGGACCTGCGAACATGCGTTGGTGCGTGCGCGTGCACGTGTGCGTGTGTATATGTGTGTATGTGTACGTGTGCGTGTGTGCGCACATGTACATATGTATGACGTTGATTACACTGTGGGCTGAAAAGCCGGGGGCCCAGGGCCGAAACACAGTATGTATGATGTGTGAAACAGGGGGGTGTATCTTCGCCCGTGGCAGCTACCCTGCGAAACCCTGCCTTCCCCGGTATTTCGGGGCTCCCTCATCCAGTCACCCTAGTCAACTTCTCAGTGGATCGCTCAGGTTCCGCACCCACCACCAGCATCCAACGGAATCTGCCGGGTCGACAGCGGCCCAACTCCATTCCTGGTCGGCTCGCGGATTAACTTTATCCCAGGTCGCCACCGTCCATCAACTGGGGGCACAATGCCTTCCACCATCGAAAGGACTTTTGACCCTAATGGGTATCGATCCCGGGATCTCCCGGGGGCAATGATCGCGCCTTACCAGTAGTGCCAAACCCTAGTATGAGTGTATGCATGTGTATGAACTTCTTCGGCAAAACGGAGGTCATGGGCCTAAGAAACCAACAGGACGTGTTACTTTCCGTACTCACCTAAGCTGTACGACGAGATCCACCCAAAACACTCCCAGTATGGCCCACTCCGCAATATCCAGCGCAAAGTGGCGTACGGCACTGAAACCCGCCTGGCGCGGCACATCACGCGGAGTGGGTTCGAGTCCGGTCATTGACAGGCCCCCCGTCGTACAAAAGTTAAGAAAGCAAACCGCACACCAGGATGAGCGGTTTTTAAAACTCCACAGGACGTGCAAGTACGTGAAATGGCATAGTGGGCAGTACGAAGCGCAGTACGAGCAACGAAGCTGATGTCATTTGGGGGTCCTGCTGGGACGGTTAGTCGGTTAGTTGTTGAGTCGGCTGATCGGTAGGTTGGTTGGCGAGTCTTCTGCCGCCTTGTACTCGCGGCACCACCATACAGCTGAACCGGAGCAGCAGCCCTTTACCATCGAGCAGCAACTAACTAACCAACTAACCTGCAACGGAACCATGGCGGCTGTGTAGAGCAATAGCGCCAGCAGCAATGCGTCCCAACTGTTCGCGAAAATCCACAGTATGCAGGGGTTTGGTTTTTTGTCAGGTTTTAGGGCTTTTCGCTTCAAGGCAGTCCTAACGGTAATAACTGTTTTTTATTTGCGACGCCGCAACGAAACCAGAAGGCTGCAGCTCACGTCAGTTCGGGTCCCGTACACAATCGTTCTACTAATGGACCATGTGGGTACGACCCTCCCGTCGTATCCACGTCATAATCCTTGACGTACGACAGTCCTATAATTGGATAAATTATCTAAAAATCATGGAAAGGATTTAATTCTTCGCCTACCCTATCTCGTCTTACCTGTCTTTGACTTTCGAAGGGAGAAATAGCGGCAGATATTTGTCAAAGCCATCCCATACGCTGCCAGTCTTCAGTAACCCCCGAATACCGAAATTGCGAACTTCCCAGAAGCACGCGTACAAGCTGCCGAAGCCGCCGCCGCGGCGGCGCCGCCGCTGGTTCCATATCCCGTCCCCCCAATCGAGCCCGGAGGAGCCGCGGCTGCTGCTGATGCTGCTGTTTTTACGGGCAACCGCCGCCGCTGCCGCGGCGGCGGCTGAGGAGGACCAAATCGCCTCCGGCGCGCCGCCGCCGCCGCCGCCGCTGCTATACCCCTGACGCTGCCGCCGCTGCCGCCGCTGCCGCCGCCGCAAGCCCACAGAACCCTCACCGCCGCCGCCGCCCCCCCCGCCGCCGCGGCCGGGTGACGCCGGCGCGTCATTCAGTTCGTTGATATAATCTTGGGATGACATTATCCACCAGTCTAGCTCCTTGGAGATGGCTCTCGCAGTAATGCCAACGCCGCCACTTCTGCTGTTCATGAAAAAATCGGTCTCGTCTTCCAATGCGCGGTCAGCAGCGGTGACGGCGGCGGCAGCAGCAGCCGCCGCCGCCGTCCCCCCATCTCCGTCCGCAACTTGCCCAGGCAGCAGCAAGCCCGCACGCCCCGACGGCCGCCGTCGTCGAAGTGCTGACGTGGAGCGAGGGCAACGGTACGACACGGTTTCCAGTCCGGCGCCGCTGACACCGCTGCCCGCGTCGGCCTCAGCTTCGGCGCGATTCTTGGCCATACTGTGCGACCGCGGCAAGTCAACTGTACGGCTGAACCCAGCGCCGACGTGGCCTGCGAGATTCGCAATTTCGGCGGCGGCGGCAGCGGCCTCGGTTTCAAGGCTGTCATCTGTCGCCAGGCCTGCTACAGCTGCAGTAGCTGGCAAGCCCGCCGCCGCCGCCACAGGCGTTAACGCACCAGCTGTAGCTACAGCAGTGGCGGTAGGTTCTGACGGCTGGAGGGGAAAGCATTCACTGCAAACCGTGTTACCGCTGCTCCTGTACGGCACCTCAAGCCAACCACCAGCCACATCCAACTCGCTCCCATCAGCGCCGCCAGCAGGTCCTCTCGACGCGGCGGCTGTGTCGTCACATGGTTGACCTCGGCCGTACACCATGATGACGGCAGTAGCGTCCGATAGAGGTCTTGGAGAATCGATGCCATTGCCTTCCCCGTCTAGGTGCTGTAGCTGCGACGTCTCGCCAGCGGCGGCGGCTGCGCTGGACTGTGGCTGTAGCCGTAATGCCGTACGACTTGCATCCCGACGGCCGTTGCCTAATGTGGCATCCAAGGCATTGCGCATCATGGCTCGCGACGGTGCGTGCGCCTGTGGCCAAGGTGACTCGTTGGTGGTCCCAGAATCCGCTGGCAGCTGCGCCACCGGCGCTGTTGCCATCGCGCCACCTGGCTGCCTTGCATCATGCTCCAGCTGCTGCTGTGGCGGCTGCCGCGCGCGCAAGTGCATCGGATGCTCTTGCAATGGATAATGTTGTTGTTGTTGTTGTTGTTGTTGTTGCTGCTGCTGCTGCGGGTGTTGTACGGGCGTTGGCTTTCGTGCTTGGCCATGCCCAATGGACAAGACGCGCAGCGGCGTCCGCGGCAGGCCAAAGCCAGTGGCCGCGGTGTCGTACACTGGCGGTGGCGCCTCCACCCAGGAAGCCCGGCGCATAATGGGGCCGGAGTCCTGTACGGGACAGAGGACGGACGGGCCTTACGGATTTCAGTTGGATGGTGCATGCCGGGGTGGAGGGATGCAAAAGCGGGCGGGGCGCGGCAGGCGCACCAAGATTTAGACATGGCCCTGAGTGGGTTATGCTGGATGCTGCTAGTGATAGCACGACAATGCGAGAGGGACGTCTTGCTGCATACGCGCCGATGTGCTGGATGGACCAGTTTTGACCAGAGCAAGAACAATTTGCAAAGCGCCCTTTTCGCGGCGCATGTAATATTGTATGTAAACCTATAGATGGTGAAACCAAACATAGTCTGTGATGCGGCCCGCGTGTCATGTACCACGTGATTTTGTTATGCCGCATGGACATGGCTCGCTGGCACCCTGCTCGTACCTCCGCTGGCCACCCATGGCTATTGGTTCTTGTGAAAAGGTTTGACTTATTTTCAAGGGCGTGCCACGTTGTTGAGCGCGATTCATTTTTGTAGACCCGTTGATGTGGGCGCCTGGTGCGCTCGGCGGCATCAAGGGCGTCTGACACTCTGTTATCCGATTCATGCTGCTGCAAAGCTTCAGCAACCTACATCAGCAGGCAGGAGTGTAAAATCCGTAAAGAAGGCTGAGAGATTACGCTGCCCAAGCGCATGGGACATCGTTACCGACCAAAGCATCGCTGTCGTTAATATATTGTACCAGCAAGAACGACTGTGCTGCTTCTGCCATAGCTTTATTGAGAGTCAAAGGTCTGTCCTTGCGAGCCTCACCCCTTCTGGGTGGTCGCTGGATTTCGAACCTATTTGCGCGATTCACATTTCATCAGATGCAGCACATATACTGTTTGATGCTATAGGCCAGCAAGGTATCACTGTGGCCCCCCAATAGTTCATTTGGAACACCACAACTCGTTCTATGATATGTTCGGACAACGAGGCAGGTGCCAGTCGCGCCTGGATGCATACAAACGATATCTGATTTCCATCACGTTATTCAGTTACTAGCCTACCTCTTGCCGTAACTCATTAGTACGAGCGCCAACTAAAACTGAAACTTTCCTGGATTGGTCGTTTCGTCAAGTTCATCCTTACAGGAATTTTCTTCAAGTTCATCCTTACACACCTACGAAGCAGCATTCAGATTTCATCGCTTTTATTGTTTGCTGCCATTTCTTCTCATTCAGTCGCAGTCATTTTCATTCCATCGCAGCCGTTTCCAGATTCATAAGAATGCAAATTAAATTTAAGCACCAAATAACAGTGTCTGTTGACGCATGTCACCGTAGTATTGTAAGGAGGCCAAGATGTGGCGATAGGCGCCGGGGCCCAACGGCCTCGTGGGCAGTAGACTGCATACTGCTGCGAGATGCGAAGATTGCCGTAGCTGCTGCTCGCTTGTCCTTGCTTCCCTTTCGAGCAATCAACAAGAGTTTTGTGCTCCTGTCTCCCTTGACCTGTACTCTCGTGGCTCTGCCTAAGCTGGCCGATACCGACCGTGTCATGAATGAGCGAAAACAGAGAGCGGAGACCCCGGGGGGCTGCCAAGGGCACTTACACTGTAGAACAAACTAGCAGCTACAAAAGCTGAAGATCTACGCTCTACTGAATGCATGGCAGAACGCCTGTAACGAAAGAGCGGAAGCAATCGAGTCGCCATATGATAACAGTTGCACAAATGTCGGACAGAACCCGTCTGAGGGGTTCCTATCGCTGTACTCCGTCGCATCTATCACAAGCAGACTGGCGAGCTGGGGTAGATTCCGCTGCCCTAAATAATACATTTTGCAGAAATTATACACGGAATTCCTTTGAAAAATTGAAATACAGGAAGGCCTTGGCAGGGAAAATGTTGACACGCAAGGTTTGGCACGCGCGTGAGGGGCGAATACGCGGGTCATGCACGTACATCTGCCGCCTATTACTAGGATGTGTAGATAATATATCTACTAGATATAGCTGCCCTCATAACACCTCGTCAATTTCAAACGACTGGCTGACATGCTGGGTGATACAGATGAACGGTCAAGGGGGCCACACTATCAGGGAGCAGAAGCACAGACCAGCAGAAGCATCAGGTAGTCTTACATCTTCGCAGGCTTCAACTGGCCTTTGCCCCCCCTCAGGGCTCGTATGGGCCCCCAGGTTACACCTCTGGAGGCTAATGCAACTTTAAACGGTCTAGTGAACACGCATCCACACTGTAGTGAGTCTGGTTGAGACGTACCAGAATACAACGAAATGTAGCAGCGGAAAACAGACCACAATAGGTGGTAAAGGTGCGAGGTGGGTGTGACCACGACACCAGTAGTAATAGCAGCGCTAGACTACTCATGCCTACCAGGCATCCGCACCGGATTATATACGATCGGTAACTGGCGACCGTAGCCCTGCGGGACTTCTCTTAACCTTCCTTGATAGGATAGGTCGATCGACGCGACTGTATGACTGACGACTGTCACACTTTACACAACCGACAACCTGTCAGTTGATCTCAGCCTCGAACGTTGGAACGTCCGTTCGATATCCAACTGGGATATGCTGGGATTCGTTAATTACATAACCATACTGGTTAGATTGACCAACCATAGGCCACAACATTTATCCCCTCCTTTTAGGAGTCGTGTCCTCACGACTACGGGACTTAATGAACTGCAACTCAGCAGCCATATCCGGTGTAAAGTGGTCAGCTGGTTCCCAACTGTTATGTTCCGACTCGAAACCTTTCCACTTAACCAGATATTCATCGACGTACTTACGTCCCACCTTCCGGCGGCGATAGTCCAATACTCGGTCTATCGGATAAGTAGTATCCTCAGAGAACTCCTCCGGTAATTGCTCAACAGGCAACGGTTGAAAAGTACCATCGGTACGGTAGGGCTTAACAAGCGATACATGAAATACATTATGTATCTTCAAGTTGCTTGGAAGCTTCAGCTTCACAGCGACATTTCCTACCATTTGTTCGACCTCGAACGGGCCACACCAACGAGGCGTGAGTTTACGAATGCCCTTACCTCGCAAACGCAAGTTTTTAGTACTTAATAAAACAAGTTGTCTTGGCTCAAACAAAACATCCCTTTTCTTGGCGTTGTAGTGTTGCTCAGTACGACTTTGAGCCGCCAATAAACATCGTTTAGCATCAGCTAGGCGTTGATCCATTGTTTGCACAAATGCCTTAGCTGTTGGTACAGTAACATCTAACTCTCGTACAGTAGGTGTTGCAGGATGATAACCGTAATTTAGAAAGAAGGGTGTTTGACCAGTAGACCGGTTTACCGAATTGTTAACAGCAAATTCCGCCAAGGATAAAACTTTATCCCACGTGGATGGAGATCCATCACAGTAATTTCGTAACATGTCGGCCAGCACACGGTTCATGCGCTCTGTTTGACCATCGGTCTGTGGATGGAATGCTGTAGACAGATCTGAACGAAGATCGATCATACGAGCCATATGTTGCCAGAACATTCCAGCAAACTGCGGTCCTCTATCAGAGACTGTTGTTTTGGGCAATCCATGCAATCGAACAACGTTTGCAAGGAACAACTCCGCAGTTTTCTCGGCTGTGACATGCGTATTGGTTGGTACAAAATGAGCCATCTTGGTGAGACGATCCACCACAACAAAAATGGCGTCGTGTTGTCGTTGCGTACGCGGCAAACCAACCACAAAATCCATTGAGACACTGTCCCACGGCATGTCTGGTATTGGCAACGGTTGCAACAAACCATGTTGTCGCCCTGACAAGGTTTTGTTACGTTGACATTTATCACAACAACGTACGAAAGACTCGATATCTGCTGTTATCCCAGGCCACCAATGGTGTCGTTGTACTAACTCAAGGGTGCGAGCGACTCCTGGGTGTCCACCCATGGGTCCTCCATGACAGCGATCTATCAGTTCTTGTCGTAGTTGGGGCTCACATGGAACGACAATACTTCGACGTCCCGTAGGCATCGCCTTGAGCCAGTAGCCTTGTTCATTACGTAGCTACGTTTAGTGATTGACCGAACCAAGGATCCTTAGCATACCCAGCCAGGATACGTTCTCGAAGCGTACATGCTTTCGTCCTTCGGGTTATCGCATTCAGTGAGGGATGTCGACTGAGAGCATCAGCTACATTCAGTTTCCCAGCACGATGTTCCCACAATAAATGAAATCGACTAAGGAACTCAAGCCAACGTGCTTGCCTTCGATTTAACGTGGGTTGCGTTTTGAGGTAAAATAACGGGTGATGATCCGTTGCCACGCGTACGTCATGTGGTCCTTCGAGGTAGCATCGCCACTCTTTTAGGGCATGGATTACACCAAGCAATTCCTGCTCTCCCGTTGTATAGTTCCGCTCGGCTGGCGTGAACGTTTTACTGGTGAACGCAATAGGGGCTCCATCTTGGAGAAGTACAGCACCTGTTCCCCTTAACGATGCGTCCGAAATCACCTCAAAAGAGAACGGTTTGGTCAAATCAGGGTACCGAAGCAAGACATCGTCTGCCAAGGCTTTCTTTACTACCTCAAAGGCTTCACGTGCCGAGGGAGTCCACTCGGGCAATATGTTTGCTTTACCACAAAGCATATCGGTTAGGGGTGCCGACAACGCAGCATATGACCGAATATATTTACGAAAATAATTGGTCAACCCCAAGAACTGACGCAGCTCTGTAATCGAGTTAGGGTGTATTTCCAGTGCGGATTAAGGCCAGGGATTAAGGTCCCGCTATTCCCGGCTAATCCCCGGCTGATCCCTGGCAATTCTTAAGGCCTGGGATTAGCGCTGGGATTAAGGCCGTACAAAGGGCGATGTATACTTTCTATGTGATTCTGAAGCTAAAATTGTTAAGTTCTGAACTAGTTTGGGCATTAGGAATTGAATCAGTATTAGATATGAACAGGAAGCGCACTCTTCTCGCCGTTCATCTCTTCATCACCTTTTGAGCAACCCAAAACAGGAATTGCTTATTTGAGATCATATATATGGAACTACCTAGAAATTAACGTCAGACATGGCGCCGTGAATGCTAATCCAGATACGGAAAGATACTACCTGGCTCGAGCCAGGTAAGGGTGTATTTCCAGTGCGGATTAAGGCCAGGGATTAAGGTCCCGCTATTCCCGGCTAATCCCCGGCTAATCCCTGGCAATTCTTAAGGCCTGGGATTAGCGCTGGGATTAAGGCCGTACAAAGGGCGATGCATACTTCCTATGTGATTCTGAAGCTAAAATTGTTAAGTTCTGAACTAGTTTGGGCATTAGGAATTGAATCAGTATTAGATATGAACAGGAAGCGCACTCTTCTCGCCGTTCATCTCTTCATCACCTTTTGAGCAACCCAAAACAGGAATTGCTTATTTGAGATCATATATATGGAACTACCTAGAAATTAACGTCAGACATGGCGCCGTGAATGCTAATCCAGATACGGAAAGTTACTACCTGGCTCGAGCCAGGTAATAACTTTTTTGTCACAGGTTGCCAGGTAAATACATGGGCATCAAGTTCAGTTTATGTTCTTTCCTAATCTCTTGCTAGCTCCCGCTAATCTTCTGATTAGAGAACACGGTGTCCTGAGGAATTTCTTAATCCCCGGCTAATCCTGCTTAATCCCGGTGGGATTTCCACTGCCGGGATTAGCGCAGGGATTAACGCTAATCCCTGGCCTTAATCCGCACTGGAAATACACCCTAATAACTTTTTTGTCACAGGTTGCCAGGTAAATACATGGGCATCAAGTTCAGTTTATGTTCTTTCCTAATCTCTTGCTAGCTCCCGCTAATCTTCTGATTAGAGAACACGGTGTCCTGAGGAATTTCTTAATCCCCGGCTAATCCTGCTTAATCCCGGTGGGATTTCCACTGCCGGGATTAGCGCAGGGATTAACGCTAATCCCTGGCCTTAATCCGCACTGGAAATACACCCTTAGGTAACGGCCAGTCACGCACAACGCGGACTTTCTTGGGATCAGGACGTACACCTGACGTACTGATAATATGTCCCAGGTACTCTAACTCTGTTTGTGCCCAGTGACATTTTGAGGCTTTGGCGTGGAGACGTTCCCGTCTGAGCACTTCGAAAACCTGTTCCAAGTGTCGTAAATGCTCTTCACGACTTCGTGAATGAATCAAGATATCATCCAGGTACACCACCACAAAGCGACCAATAAACGGTTCCATGACACGATTCATAACTGTTTGAAACGTAGCGGGAGCATTGGTCAGACCGAACGGTAACACTACATACTCATAGTGACCGAGGGGTGTCCGGAATGCCGTTTGCGGAACATCTTCGTTACGAATACGAATTTGGTTATATCCTTGTTGAAGGTCGATGGATGAGTACACTGTACTACCACCGAGACTATCGACTAGATCATCGATCCGTGGTGAAGGATACCGGTTCTTTACCGTTTGAGCGTTTAGCCCACGATAGTCTACAACCATTCGTAGTGTGCCGTCCTTTTTAGCAACGAAAAGGATTGGTGCAGCCCACGGCGAACTACTTGGCCGTATCATCCCTTTACGCAACAAGTCTTCAACTTGTCGTTTAACTTCCTCCAATTCATTTGGAGTTAGTCGATATAGGGGCCGAGCAACGGGCTGAGCACCTTCGACCAGCGGGATGGTATGAGTCACCAATCTTTCAGGAGGTGGCTCAGTTATGTCCGCAAAGATATCCTGATATCGCTCCAACAAGGCGGCGATTTCTGGATCCGTCACTTTTACTTCAGCGGCTGAGGTAGTCGGTACGTCCGGCCCACCTGACCCACGGGTCGCAGCTGCGCGTACTACTGCGCCAGCAGTTAGCCGCGGACGGACTAATAACACGTGCGCTCCCTTTCGCATCATGTTTTTCGCCTGTGTGCGATTAATTGATAAGCACTCTGCCCTGGCTTGCATTGTCATGATAACGTGATGTTTTGGGCGCTGATCTTTGGAAGGATCCTCCTTTCCGTGCGAATAGGTACGACGAAACTCTTGCGTACCCTTCCGGAGTGTTACCACTCTGGTGTCAAAATCGATTCGCATTCGACTTTGCTCTAAGATATTCGCACCTAAGATCAGATCAGCCGAGGTTGGCAACCCCTTCATCACTAGGGCAGGTACTACCAACCGCACCGGTCCCACTCTCACCTTCAGCATCGTTTGACCAACGATGGGGGACATTCCACCATCCGCCAACCGTACGTACGTGAAGGTTGAGGGTAGCACGTGAAGATGAAGAAGACGCACCAGCGCCTCGGAAACGAAGCTATGCGTAGCTCCCGAATCCAACATGGCTATAAACGTAGACCCTGAAATCTTCACTGCTAGGTGAGGAACAGCCTTCCCAAAAGCCATACAGGCAGGGATTTCTTCCGTGCTGTCTGGACCATCATACCATACCTCCATAACTTCAGTAATAGGAGGAAGAAGCGCGCGGCTTCCTTGTACATCTGGTACGTAAAACAAAGAGGTACCCACTGGGTATCGTCGTACCAATTTCATGCCTTTTAACAAAGATGGTTCCGTTCCACTAGGAACTAGTATGCAAGCTGCTGTTGACTGTGGAGCCAGCGGCTTACAGGCACGATACTGCGTTACGTACGCAGGCAAGTCAGCTGCATTCGGAGCCATCCAGACTGTATGTCCGGCAACGTTGGTATCAAGGCATGGGCGGGCTGTACACGAGAAAGCGTTACATACGGCAGACAAGCCGCAGTCTGATGCACATGCATCTAAAGTGAACTCTCGGCCCACAGTGGTTACAATACTAGCAACTTCGCTTTCGTGCACTGATCGTCCCAAACCCTGCCAATACTTGGACCAAAGACAATTCCCATCCGGGCGCCGAACGAACCTCGGAGGGGCAACTCCCTAGGCAACAGTGCCACCGGCACCACCGGCGCCAGCATCCTCGTTCCAACGAGGACAGTTGTGATAGGTGTGATCCAAACCCAGGCACACCCAGCAACCGTGGAGGGACATCGCCAGTTCAATCTGCGCTTTTGGTAGGTACCCCCCACCAGGCGCTGGCTTGTTAGACAGTGCCAGGTTCACCCGCTGACGCTTCCGTCCCATCACTTGTTGCCATTCGCCCTGGACCATTCGGCCCGCACCGCGACCGGCAGCCTCTGCACCGCGACCTGCGGCGGCTCCTCCTCGGGCACCACGGCCTCGACCCGGGTTAACATTACCCCGGCCTCCCTGTCCGCGACCCCCACCTGGACCATTGCGTCCGGCCATGCGGCCTGCTGGGCCACCACCACGTCCACCACCCCGGCCACGGCCTCCAGCACCACGGCCCACACCCGCGTTGGCCGGCTGAATAGGGGCAGCGACGGGCGGCGCCTGGACAGGTCCAGCGTGTACTGGAGCGGGTGCCGCCACAGCAGCAGCAAAGGAAGGTGGAGCCATCTGCGCATCCGGGAGCTGTGCGACCGCAACAGCTGCTGGCACAGCAACGGGCTGTGCGGGGTCTGGCATTGCGCCAGCGGCGGGTGCTCCAGCAATAGGGATTACTGGTTGACCAACAGGTGCGACGGGCACGGGCACAACGGGTGCCAACGGGGGAGCGGCAGCGCCAGCCTCACCCGCTGCAGGGGCAGCAGCAGCAGCAGGCGCAGCTGCGGCATCAGCAACTTGCTGAAAGGGGATATTCAGGTTAACTCCACCTGGTGCGGCAGCATTCTGCGCCGGGCCCCAACCTGCGCCCCATTGCCAACTGGCAAGGTTGAACCCACCTGGGTTCCCTGAGGAGCCTGACGCCATAGCGACGTCGAGTGACCCACCGGGGTCGTTTGTTCCGCCTGTCCCGTTCACTACAATACAGTAGGATCTTGCTCACCGGGACAGCTAATCGAACAACTTACTTGCAGTAAGAAGTTACTTACTGGGAGAGATAGTCAGACGTGCGAAATGTTCGCACTCCCTATCAATGCGGCCCGGAATGAGGGACTGCCGCTGTCCCATGGACCTATGGTCTCGATACCAAATCTGTAGTGAGTCTGGTTGAGACGTACCAGAATACAACGAAATGTAGCAGCGGAAAACAGACCACAATAGGTGGTAAAGGTGCGAGGTGGGTGTGACCACGACACCAGTAGTAATAGCAGCGCTAGACTACTCATGCCTACCAGGCATCCGCACCGGATTATATACGATCGGTAACTGGTGACCGTAGCCCTGCGGGACTTCTCTTAACCTTCCTTGATAGGATAGGTCGATCGACGCGACTGTATGACTGACGACTGTCACACTTTACACAACCGACAACCTGTCAGTTGATCTCAGCCTCGAACGTTGGAACGTCCGTTCGATATCCAACTGGGATATGCTGGGATTCGTTAATTACATAACCATACTGGTTAGATTGACCAACCATAGGCCACAACACACACACACACATGCACAGATGTGCACATGCGCACATACACACACACACACACACACATGCACAGATACGCACATATGCACATCCACACATACATGCACAGATACGCACATACGCACACCCACACATACGCACATGCGCACACCCACATGCACACATACGCACATACGCACACGCACAGGTTCCCCTAGGTTTCCGTCATTTTCAGAAGTGACCTGGCGTACCTATCGTGGAAAATGCTACCCATGGAAGGAGTAAGAACGGCATCGCAAGTTATAACTGCTTGTCACCTTTGTCACATCAACAGCGCATTTGCATGCACAGGTTTGGCGGAGCGGATCTCCATCTGCGTCTTAGGGCACTTCAGGTCGCACTTCAGGTCGCACTTCGGGGCCCTTTAGTGCACTTCCTGGTGTTCGACGCTTTGCTTTTAATAGGTGTAGTGACATGTGTATGCAAGAGTGTTGCAATGGCTGGAGAGCTTTTGGGGTGGTCGTCTGCATCTTGGAATAGCTTCTGAAACTAACCACCTTGCCGGCGGTGTCAATGCCAGCTAGCTAGCATCGCTAACGGGGGAGTGCTGTGCGGCGCAATGCGGTCATCGTTCAGGGAAAAGCCGTTCGGAGGACATTTAGTTCGGAGGCCATTTAGCCACTGTGGCTTGCGACTGTCATTGTGATTGCGGTGTTCCATTCGTCGTTGGAAGCGAAATTGTGCATACGGAGGCACGATATGGGGGGACTTGGATGAGCAAGTACCCTGGAGCAGTCCATAAGGGCTAGAGAGGGCTTTCCTTCCCAGGCTCTATCTGTGCTGCGAGACCGACTCTTTGGCATTGTTTTTTCGTTGATACACAAGTTCGGGTCTTCGGTATCAAGCTCCTGCAGGGAGGTTTGTTAAAGGCTAAGTGGAATAATAATATGAGATTGTAAAAGCGCTATGGCGCCTGGGTGTCATGCTACAGGGCACCGTAAGGCTGGGTAGCCCAAACGAGGCAGAAGTCTCGGGTCAGCGGTCCAGCACGTCTCCTGCGCTTTTCATAAGGTCGCACGCCAAAGCCTCATATGTCACATTACTCAGAACGCTTGCTGTTCAGTGAGGCGACATAGAAGCCAGTTGAACGAAAGGGTGTCTGGGTTCCGATACTGCTGCTGTGCTATCCATGTGACGCAGCCTTAGGCCTTCAGAACTTTGTCAACGTGTTAAGTAGCTCACTTGTTATGACAATCCCCGACTTGCTAAATTACATTAAGCCTTGGTTAAACCTGTAACCTTCGCAAATACGAGCTACGGTTCTTTGCCCTAAAGCAGACTTTTCAGGCATTTGCGTAATAAATCAGGATTGCTTAGTTCGTACAATATCGGCTTGCATGTGTAACTTTACTAAAAGCGAGGATGCTGAGCCAGTCCAGACCATGATTATAGGGTCATGAATTCAAAACGCAATATGAAACTTCCTTGCCAACCCAAAAGCTCCCATGCTCCTCGTGCACGCTGTTTACGGGCCCCGTTGCGAAGTTCACGTAAGGCCCACTATTAGTGCAAGTTCTAACGATTTCGCTGCGAGCAACTGTTGGAAGTCGATAATAAATGTTAAAATCTCATAATAAACTCTGTCAAATTATTAACCCTCCAGAAACCGCTCTATGGTAGTGCCAGGCCAATTCGTACAGAAGACGTAATAACCCTCAGATACACAGTGCAAGAGCCAACCTTAGATGGGGGAATTTGTGGTATCTATAGAGAAATTCTTATCAGGGCTTCGGTTAAACTCAGCTTACAACACTTTTCTGCACATGCTCACAGCGCCAAAATTGCATAATCGCGCCGGGATTGCATAGCTGAGGCCTGTCATTACCATAATGGCATAGTACTTTACCTCCAGATTGCTCTTCTTGCCAGAATGGCGCAGACGGTGGCGTTGATCGCAGGGCTCGTAGCCGCTTCGGTGGTTTTACCTGCGTTGTTATTACTTTGCGGCAAGAAGCGCAAGGTGAGCAGGCGGGAATTAAATTGCTTAATGCAGATGACCGGCCGATGACCCAGTTTCGTAAACCCTCACCCCAAACAGTTATTGACACCATCAGTTTTCCACAGCTGCGCCGTCCCTGCGAATTGCCTGGCCGAAAGAACAACATGGAATGAAATTTTGGCTTATTTTCATTCACATTTTAACAGAAGAAGATGGCAGCATTCCTGACGGTCGTCAAACTTGCTCGTCCAAATCACTGTGAGAACGGGCAGTAACAGACAACAAGGAGCAACCAGGAAAACATGCGAAATCGCGAACAGAGCCAATCAAATCTCCCTGCTGTTATCATCTACAGCTCTTACAGCTTTTTGAACCGAATGCTGCTACGCTGGGCACCTAAGGATTGTCGGTGCATAAACCTCAATACCCAACACCGAAGGGCCGAAGCCAAGCCGCGCAAAAACCGCACCCGACCAGAACGACATGTACCAGCATATATCTTACAGTTACTGCCAACCCGCTTGCTGGACAAATCACGAGGCCTGTTTAGTTCGTTAGTGAGCCCCACTGGCGGAAAGGGGCGTTGTTCGGAGAGAGGCGACTAGCGAATAAGGGGGTATGAAATACCCCCTTATACATGTATGTACATGTTGAGAGGTGCCCCATCGGGAAGCATATGCCAGTGGATGGAGTCCACTGGCGACTCAGACAAGATTCTCCCAGCCAGCCCAGCCACCTGCTCTGGCCGTTCATGTTCCCCACCTGGTTTGGAATCCTTCTACATGAAACGCTACTGGACGCCCCGGAGCTCGTGTTCTACATGCGAATCTCGCGCCTCACGCACAGATCTTATATCTCTGTGTACCCTTTGCTTGTCTATCCCTCCTCTTCCTTTCTTTCCCTCCCCCCCCTCCCCATCTCTTTCCCCCGTCCTTTTCCCTTTCACTGATCCTCTCTTTCTCTCCCTGCCTTACTCCTCACGCCTTACTCCTGCTTCCCAGGATGCTCCTGTTGGGGCGTCTATGGCAAATCGCCGGGGCGGCTCGCCAGGCGGCCGCATGCCGATGGACCCCATTCTGCACCCCAGCTGGGTAACAAAGCAGGCCGCACGGGATGCCATGGAAAAGCAGCAGATGACTGTCATAATGGCGACGAACCAGACGCGAATGCAAAAGGCCGGCGGTGGTGGTCGCCGCAGTGGCAGCGGAGGTGGCGAGGACAACGTCCAGGTAGTCGTCATGCGACAGCCTAGCACGATGGCGGATAGGTTTGCTCTTCCTTCCCACATCGCCAAGCAGCTTGGTCAGGTAACTGTGCTGTATATTTGTTCATTATAAATCGGAGGCTTAGGCATCCTTGCGTGTTTTATCTTTGTTTAGGCAGGTGCCCTGGCGATGTGATGTGAAAAAAAGTCGCGATTTGATGTTATGCGCATTATTAAGGGACACTTTAGGGGATGCCCGAACCCCAAGAGGACCTGCTCTAAGAGTTTGGTGGTCTCCCCCTAAAGGGGGAGATCAAGGGGCATTCCCCTTTGGCGATGGGGAACAAGAAGAAGAGAACCGAAAGGGGATAATCGAAGGGGGCTATCCTTTCAGCCAGGAGTCGCTGCTGTGATCGAGTTCGGATGCGGCGGAAAATCTCTCTCATTCAGCGTCCTTGAAATTGCCTCATGCGTGCGTCCATGCCCCTTAATTTGCAGACGTCGAGACGTACATCTGCCGTACCTTCTGGAGGAGGTCGTGGCGGGGCGTGGCGAGGCAGTCCTACCCTACCGCAGGTTGGTCAGTGTGGATAGTTCGTGCAGAACTTGGTCGTAGCGTAGCGTAAAAAGACCTCAATACTGGTTCCGAAGCGAACTGCTATGGACGAGACATCACTTGTATTTATGGCAGGGACTTGCCTTTTTCCTCTGCTCTACCCCTTAACTTATGTAACGTGTACCGAGGAGATTGCTCTGTATCCGCTGTTTAGTTTGGCAATCAGCCCTGGCTGATTTTGGCCATTTACCTCAAGACGAACAAAAGAAGGTGGCTCGAGATGGGGGAGACGTACCCGGAGACATTCCTGACTCCTCTAGGGATCACAAGCCCTGACAAAATAAAACCAAAATATGATTTCTGCCAAGAGCAGCGAAGCATTGATCGATCTTTAAATCGAAAACTCCCGAACAGGATGACTCCGTGGACGGAATGCCCCCACTGCCGCCGCTGCCGCCCCCGCCGGACCGCAAGCCACAGTCGGCGCCTCTTCAGACGAACGATCTCGTCTTTTCCACCTCAATATTTCTGTAAGCATGGCGTCCCATTTTGCTCGCATTTGATTTCTGATTGGCTATTTCACATCTGTTTTCTATGTCAAAATGTTGGTTATTAATGATTGATGCCTGGTTTCACACACCCTTCTTTTGACAATCCCTCCAAACTATTCATGTAGCATAGCATCATAAAAGGGGTTGTTTCTGTACGTTTTTCAAGATCGGACAAAATTGACATTTTTATTTCTCCTCCGTAAGTGCTTCTTGAAAAGCTGCTGCTGAAGTGTTTTAACAATTTGAATAATAGTGACATGGACTGAGATCTATTTCCTTGCCTATATGACTGGCATGCTCTTTCATTGTGCCGCCTGGTCGTGGGCTTAACTTAATACTCTAGTACTTCTCAGTAATAGGACCCGGCTGAGGGTCCGGCGCTTTGTTGGTTTTAACACCTATCCCTCCAAGTCTGACTGAATCCGATGCCGCCTCCTGCCTCCGAAACCTATCTGCTCATCACCGCCACCGCCTCTGCTCTCCACTCCTCTCCGCTCCGCGTTTCCGTACACGCTGACGGCACAATTTACCCGCCAACAGAAGCACCACCGCCAACGGCAGCGGCATCAAGGCTCGTACCCCGGCTGGCGGCGAAACGCCCGATTTGCCGTACGCCCGTGGGTACAATAGCAGTACAAGCACCGGAAGTCGAAAAGCCCACGGAGGCATGTCGTACTTCCAAGGTCGCGACTCGATATCCTCGGTAATACCCCTTAGCGAAACGCACACAATTGGCGGCTCCGGAACCCCTTCCGACCAGCGGGAAGGTGTCCGTTTCAGCGGCTCCGGAACCGCCGCCAGAGCTCGTGACTCGCGGTTCACTGGGTCCTTTCGCCGTGGCAGTGGCTCCGGAACCGCCTGGACCGGCGAGCTGAAAGCTGATGGAGGCTCCGGTGTCAGCGGGAGCATGGAGGTCTCTGTAAACCGTTTGAAGGGACCCTCGGGACTGATGGCAGCTGCAGTGGAGGCTGCCGAAGCGGAGGCGGCTGCGCTGCTCCTACTGAATGAGGCACGGGTTACCCACCCGCGGGTCATTAGCCTGAGCCTCAGGCTGCCCAAGGCCTCCCCAAGGCCAAGCTCCCCCGGCGGCATTGGAGCAGGATTCTTAGGCGGGGGTCGAAGTAGCTCGGATGAGCTGCGGCGGCAGGAGCAGTTGCAGGAAAAAGGGGAGAACGACGCGCAGGAGCAGGAGCAGGACCTGCGGCAATGGGAAGGGACGGAGAAGGAGGAGCGGCAGCAGCAGCGGCCGCCGCAACAGCAACCTCCGTCCCTGGATATCGTGGAACGGCTCGTGCCCGGAGTGGATTGGTCGGCAGCTTCACCGTCGCCATCGTTGTTTCAGACGACGGCGGCGGAACGAGCTCCGCCGGCTGCGGCGGCGACGCCCTCCAGTCGACGGCTCGGCGCAGCATCGGAGCCGGCCGACGACGGCGGCGTCACCTCTGTCGCCGTCGTCGTCCCGCAGCATCTCTCAAACAACCAAAGCGGCGGCGGCGGAGGCAGCGGCGGCGGCAGTCGCGGCAGGTCCATCAGCAGCCGTGAGCTGCACGGCAGGCTTGGCGTCGTACACCTTCGGAGTCTGCTCGGCGGCCGGTCCTTCCTGGTCGAACGGGAGTTATGGAACGGCGGCAGCGGCACCAGAAAGCGATGGACAGGCCATTGCGGGCTCGCACCGCCAGAGCCCTTCCTGGCGGAACTTGAGGACGTCCTCCAGGCTCCTTTGCCTGGATCTGCCAACAATAGTGCTGCGTTGCGGGCTGCTACCGGCTGTGGTCAAGTAAACGCCTCGACATCACGGTCGCGACGTGTTATGTTGTTGACGTCGAGACGGTGCAGCGGCGATGTTGGCGGCGGCAGTGGCCCGCTGGATGCTGACCTCGGGCAGAAAGCTCTGGAATTGTCTTGCAGCACCGAACAAGCCGCGACAGCCGCTGAAGCCGCCGCGAAGGCGGCGGCGGCGGGGGAGCCGGTCGCTGCGCGGGACATCACCTTGCGCCTTGGCGGCAGCGGCGGCGGTGGCGGCAGCAGCGGCAGCGCGCCGCCAGGCACCGCCGACGCTACGCGAGCGAGCGTGACATGGAGCGGCATGGCGGCGGCGGTGCCACTAGTGGATGTGGAGGCAGGGCCGGCGATGATGACGTCGGCGGGGGATGCCATGATGGCAGCGCCGGCGCTTAGTAGTCGTACGGCACGCGTGCAGGCCCTTCTGGCTCGGAACAGAAGCAATCTGAGCCGGCTTGCTGCTGTCACAGCAGTCCGATCCCCTAGCTTAGCAGGCTGTGTGGATGACGCTCCATGGGGCCCCCGCCGTTGAAATGCGCGCCTGTATAAGGGCCTGTCGACTTTAAGAAGAAATCGGAAGGGGGCAAACGTGGATGAGCTTCTTCGCAGCAAGGTGAGCTTTGTTGAAATGGCTCCTTGCTGCTGGGGCTGCCATTGCCCTCTGGATGCTTCTAGGTGCTTCGGGTGCTTCGGATGCTTCCCGGCCCACAAGGAGGGCTTGGGAGATTTGGTTTAGTGCGGGCGGAAGTGAGGACTCTGCAGATTCTCTGTCTCGCGACATGAGATCGTACATGTACTGCATTCTGCATATCTTGATTTTCTGTGTCATACGTTGCGCCTCGTTGGCTCCTTTGCTGGTGTAGGCTGTTCATCGTGATGTTGTGAAACGTGCTATTGGGGTGCGGCCTTTTGGATCGCTGGACTGACCGTGATAACACAGCGACCCACGACACGTGGTACTAAAAACAGACATTTGACTTGCATTATTTGCCTGGTTGATGAGGCCCATACCATGACGCTGGATTTCTGTTTTTATTTGAATGGTATTTGATTCCGCTACAAAACATCCGTGATTTTCGGGCCTGGGTGCCGGCTTGGCTAGCTAGGTCAGGCCCTCTCAGGACGGCCGCCTTTGGCCTGCCGATTTTGGTTTTAGTGACATTTGTTTATTATATTATGTCTGCAGCCTGCTGACTTTATAACCTATTTACAAAAGTGACTTGGTCTGGTTTTAACCCGCTCTGTCCGTTAGATGCCCGGCTTCTTAAGATCACTGTTCAGATTTTGCAAAAAGCAGAAACACAAAAAGGTTGCTGCACGGCTATGCCGCATTCCTGCTCGACTTTTGGGTTGGTTTTGCCTTTTCATGCGCCGACGGGCAAAAAAGTTGCTGGATGGAGGTATATCTACGCATTTTTACAACCTTTATAAATGTAGCGTAACCGTTTATTGAACCTAGCTGAAGGAACTTGCGCATCGATACGGTAAGCAGCGGCAGATTGATATCGCTCACAAATTTGCGAATGTGGTTTTCTCTGCTGCATCCTGCTGGTACGCGCACTATTTGTCCCTCTAGCGTTTTTCACCACATCCGACGACCCGGAACTGCCCAACTTTCTGTACCTACTACCCACTACAGAAGCCCGTCCGTGCAAAGGCAGCAGGATGACCGTCCTTGCTTCCACAGGAGAAATAATAAGTTTCTCTTTATAGGCGTTTGTATGAGTTGTACGGCTGCCCACGCTGTAAACGGCTCTCTAACACCCCTTTAGACGTGGGCGATGCGATGCACAGTTGTGACTTCCGGGTTACATCGTATTTTTTCTACGGTTAAGGAATTCTATACGATTCATTCACGGGCTGCCCTGGCCGCCCCTAATGCGTTCTTTGCGTCCTCGTCAGGTAGTGTCTGACTAATGCGCATGTACATGTCCATACTGTACAACATTACAAAGCTGCGCGGCGTCGTCATACTGTGTGTGTGGGGTTGATACAGTGCTCATACTGTCTGGAAGGGGATAATTATATCATAACCTCCCGTCCGCAAGCGCACCGCGGGCTTCCCGAGAGCTTGCAAATATCAATGTACAACTGTGCATTTCCCAAATTTGTACGATTGTTTATACACAGTACGGAGCTGAAGCTTCGAGAGCCTTGCGGGTTGCCACGCGGGTTGCTGCCCTCGCCAACTATAATGCGCAGAAAGCGTCTACTACGGTTGTTTGGAACGGTTGTGGGGCTGTGGCAGGGGGCTCATCCGGGGGCCGAGGTATATCCAGCGGCCTCCAGTCCAGGGATGTAGCAGGGCGCAGACCATGCCCCGGCTTAAAGGCGTGCCATCCCGGCAACAACCCCTGGGCAACAACTTCCTCATCGTGGCAACAGATTCGCGGCAGGCCAAGTGGCCTTGAGTTCGGCCCTCCGCTGTACATGTGGGCCCGCACTACCGCTACCTGGTTTTGGCAGCAATAGATAGCTAGGTGTGGAACACCTGGAATGGTCATGAATGGGACGGAGAGTTTGCTAGCCTGCTCCGAGCAGTGTTTTTTTTAAAGTAATATATTCCTTTTAAGGAATAAAGAGGCCATTTTGGCCTTTGGAAATAAGGAACAAATCGAGGCCGATCGGTACATTTTCATTCCTCCAGCCAAAAACGTCCATTGCTGCCAGATTGCTCCGTAGTGTGCAGAACTTAGTATTATCGATCATAGAATAGATAGGGGCCGTAAGAAGGTCAAGCCCGTGAGTCAACGCGGCATAGCAGAATGTATGACCGGTCCTTACATAGCCAAACACGCAGAAGGCAACGACTCGAACGCCGAACAAACACCAAAACAGCAAGATAAGCCTGAAATTTTTCCTGATAAAGGCGTTTGGGACGGCGGTGCTGTTGTCGGTAATGCATCGGCAATGGTGTTGCTGCCAGCGGCGAGCGATGCCACGGGCGCCATTACCCCTGCCTTCCATGGCGGTTTTGATCAGCATAAGCGCAAGCTGTCACCCAATCAGCTCGACAACAACGAATGCGGCGAGGCGCCCAACCCGAGCGCTCGCAGTGCCAAGCGGGCTCAGACACAGCGCATCCGCAAGGGCATGAGCGACGGTGCATGGCGGGACAAGCAGAAAGAAAATCCCCACAGATGGCAGATTGCCTGGGCCGCCAGGTATCCCTGGGCCCAGCCTGTGCATGCTGACGTGGACGCCGGAGAAGTGCACGACCAAGTGCGCTGCATCCCCTGCACGTTGACTGAGGAAGTGGCTGGACAGCAGCAGCAGGGGCCGGTACATGATGAACCGGTAGAGTCCTAGTGTGCTGTGGTTTGCAGTGGCGGGTGACGGCCTTTGATTTGCTATGCGGTTGCTTGCTTTGGGCCTTTGCTTGGTCGGATTTACTTTTTGTTCACAAACAGTGCCAGAACTATCTATGCATGTGCATGAAGAGTGCGCACATGAACGAAAACGCGCCAACGCAGTGCGTGCCTCTTGGTCTAGGGGAGTTGTAACTTATCGGGGGGGGGTCTGGGGGGGGTGTAGCCCCCCCCAGCGCCCCACTCTTAAGGAATACATTACGGCGACGCTAGCAACTTTGTTACTTAGGTTGGAATAAATTGAGACCCCCCCTAAATGAAAAAAAAAATCACTGCCTCCGAGACCAGAGAATTGCACACCAGCATATGGCAGCTTACACCACACCGCAAAGTAGCGGTAAAGCGGAGCACCTTGTTCCAGTGCTCCTCACTGCCAGTGGAGTAAATGCATCAATGAGCGAGAGAATGACTGGGACTCAGAGGTCTTCTGGATCGACTACGGTTTCATGGCACGACCCAATAAAGAGGAGGGCTGTGCGGTGTTGTACACAACACCGCACAGCCCCCGCTGTGCAGGCATCCCACGCATTTGAGCCCCGCGCACACCGTGTCGCTTTGGTCGAGAGTTAACGACGGCGGCGGAACTTGAAGCAGCCCCGGACATTGACCTCATCGAGAGCGCCGGACGAGCCAAGCAAAATACAGGCTTAGCGGATTACACAGCTTTTTTGAAAACGTCACCATGTAAGGCTTAAGTGAATGATGGTGAAGCAGGTTGAAGAAAACCTGACCAAAGCTAAAACACAGGCAGCGGAGGGGTTATGCAAAGCGGAAAGGGCTTCCTATGGCCTGTGTTGAGGAGGGTCAAAAGACCACACCACGGGGTGCATGCAAGGAACCGAGCGAGGTTGCCCGCACGACAAGTGATGTCAGTCAACGGTCCCAGTAACCAAACGGAGCGGTGGAGAGCCCGGCACTAAAAACATAGCATGCGGACTGCCCGACTTGGTAGAGAACACAATAGAGTACATCAACGAGTTCAGTGGACACGTAAGCTAAGAACAGATTGGGAGAAGGGCCGTTCTTCTTATTGGATAATATTGGAACATAGCTGGCACCCTGGCTGTAGTAGCCGGTACACTGTACGGCGCACATAACAACTACAATGCGCGCACTAAGCGCTCCACCACCACCTCGAGAGGCCTTTTCAGCAGCGGCCAGCTACGACACTGACCCCGGTAGAGACAGCTGATGGGCGCAAAACCATTCACAGAACCCGCCCAGCACTATAGCTTCTGGTCCCTGCTAAGCTGGAGAAGGACAAAGTGGTGGCGTCCGGGAAGAGTGGTGGCTGCGTTGGCAGCATACGGCAGTCAATGCGGACCTGACCTGACCCAGATCAGCTCTCACATCTATCGACAGAAAAAAAACACCTTTCCCCCGTGGGATGCCTTATCAAGGTTATATATGCCTTTATCATGTTACCAACTGCAGCCTCTATAGTACGAGCGCGTTTGCAATGTCCATCGGAGGTGAGACGGTCGAAAACCTAGAACTGGTTTTTTGGCGTTATGGCGGCCTCCGCAGCAGCGGGGTGCGACACAGCGCGTTCCGCCGCCAGCATAGACCGCCTGAAGGGGGAGAGGGCTGGCCAGCCCACGAGGTTAGCTGGCATCAGCACAATCCAGCCCAATAGGAGCTCCGATATTCAACCGAATCGCTCGTCTTTTATCATACGAGTGCATGTTTAATCCTTAAGGCCCAACAAGGCGCTAAAAGGTTTCCCCGTGTACATGCGGGTGCCCACCATACGGTGCAGTCACGACAGTCCCCCCCCCGCCTCTTCTTCTCTCCCAACACGCCGCCTCGTATGCCCTGCTGCCTGCTCCTGCCTGCCCCACACCCGCCACCATCACCGTCACCAAAACACCACAACAACAGGTACCTGCCAGGTAGCGATTTCTACGAAATTTCACTAGCGTTTGCAAACCCTCGCTGGCCCAGAAGTAAAGTACATCCGTCCTTCTTCGAAGTAATCGGGCCACGTTTGGGTATGTTGGCCTAAAACTCTAAAATCCTAAAACTCTAATATTGTATACTGTTCCACCCGTGGAATAGTATACAATACAAATATTGAACAATCTAGAAGTTTTAGAGTTTTCGTTATATTTAACTAAAACTCTAAAACTTCCCCTGGAGTGTGAAACTCAACGTTAACTCGAGATCGCAAAAATGGTTACCAATCGATTTCCCCCCCACAAACAGAAAACCCGCATTACCGTCCTCGCAAGCCGCCCGGCGCATGAAGCTTTTGCATCTGCAGCGCTGCCAGCAATACATCAGTATATCATCATCGTCGTCCTATTGTCATGAAGACCCAGGTCAAGTATCAGCCGCGCATCGGATCCGAGAACGGCAACAGCAATAAACAACAACAAGAACAATAATGATAATGACAACATCGACAACAACTACTACTAATAATAAAAGCAGATATGGCCAGGTGTAGTCCAGAGACAGTTATTTAACAGTTTGCCGTTGCGACGAGGCCGTTGATGATCTCCCTTTGGAGCCTTCCAGAACCGTCGCCGCGTCGAGTCCCAACCTACCACTACTTATTCCACTAGGGGATGCGACTGCGACAGCGGCGATGATGACGTCGACGACGACGGCGGTGGCGGCTGCGACATTGTCACGCTGTCTAAAGGCCCTATTCCCATTTCACAGGAGCCCATCCCTAACCGCAACACCAGCCAGACGCCAGCTCAAGCCCGTATGGCCCGTGTAAGCCACTGCACAGCCGGTCCAGCTAGTCGCTGGCTCGTGCACTGGAGACATAGGTGTGTGTGTGTGTCTTATAGATGTACGTGTACATATAAACACGCACTTGAGACTCTCCACGCAGGAAAACAGACAGACAGACAGACAGGCAACCAGAGAAAAATAAACGAGATCACACTCGCAATTCAATCATACTCCCTGAGTCAGGAGCCCACTGTAACAACCGCACACTGATACACTTTCGGAAGCGGCGGCGACGCTGCCGAAGTTGACGCCGAAGGCGCCATCGCAGCTGGGGGTTTAGCGAAATGCAGTTGGCGCGGCGGGGCAGCGTGTATTGTCTTGTCTTCCCGACAGCAACACCCCTCATCGTCAATTTTTGTGAAAACTGTTGCCTGTCGCGTCAGTTGTTTCAGCGATTTAGAAGACCTTGCGTAATGCAACCGGAAGTGGCGGGCGTTTGTCACGGGATGGATGCCTCAGCCACCAACATCCCGTGTATTGTACGAACGAACGTACGGACGGACATACTATGTCCGTCAGTGAAATTTTTCATACGCCACGCCCTCGTATAACAGATAGGGTCGGGGGTCCATGCCGAAGTATGACCGCGAATGCAGAAGTATTACGTGTGCATGTACGGACGTGTGCATTGAAACGCGGAACATCGGGCCAGCGTAAGACGCAGGTACCTGTGTATGTATGTGTGTGTGTGTAGGTGTGTGCGTGTGTGTGTGCATACGTGTGTAGGTGTGTGCGTGTGTGACTTCATATCTCCATCTCTATCCTCCATGTACAGCGGCACCGATCTAACTGGACCTAGATTCGCTCTCCGTTCTTTATCACGGGAAAGGTACGGCAAGTCCCACTGCAGTACCCAGCTCGTCGTACACATCATCACAAAAGTCCACAAGTACAAATCGGAAGCACACTTTAAAGATGCAAATGCCATGCTGCGAGAGATGAAGTTCTTCTCCCAACCCCTCCCACTCCCCGTCCTGCCCTAAATTTCCACAAACCGCCTCAAAGGGCACACCTAAACCCCAACCGCCCCAGCTAACCGCTTCAACTAACCGTGGCCAATCCCAATATCAACTGTCTTTCCCACACGTTTAAGCCTTGGGTTCTTAGAAGTATGGTCCGTTCGTCTCTACCTGTTCGAGCATCGTACGGCGTACGACAACGCCACCACATCACCCTGCTGCTATTTACAGCGAAAGACACACATGCCATACAGACATATATATCAACATGCATAAAATTGCTTCCATATCCTTCATACATTCAAGCTCTTTTCCATATCACCACTATGTACAGCATCAGACAGCGCCTGCTTCAGAGTCGCCCCCCATACACATATTTCCCCCTCATCTCTTCCCCAAAATCGTATTACCATCGCCTACAGCCCTTTGCACCGTGCTACCAAGCATCCCCCATAAGGCCCACCAAGCAGCCCTCATAAGGCCCACCAAGCAGCCCGCATAAGCCCCGCCAAGCAGCCCGCATAAGGCCCACCAAGCAGCCCCCAGAAGGCCCACCAAGCAGCCCCCATAAGGCCCACCAAGCATCCTCGTCCGTACCTCTTAACGTCACGCAGAGGAACCGGAGCCCTCTTTTTGCAGCAACGGATCCCGATCCCGATCCCGATCTCGGTCGGGTGTGGGGGAAACGGGTTCATGCCCCTTGCCGCGGCTACGTTCCGACGCGGTGCTCGCTTGTACACTTAGGACTGTGTACCAGGCAATGCCCGCCATGGTGAGGGCGATACCCGCCAGGCGCTTCCAGGGCATGGCGTCGCCGAAGAGCAGGCAACCACCTGCCAAGATGAGTACCTGCGGAAATTGCATTTTTGCGCCGTGGGTGCTACGTATGTATGTATGTATGTATGTATGTATGTTACGTCTCGATCCGGCCCTGACACTGACCAGGGGCACCTAACCGTACCGTGCCCCAACGGGAATGAGCGACCGTCGAAGCAGTCTCCTCCTAGCGGCGTGAGGAGAGGGGCGTGCAGGGCCACTATGTACGTACATATGTACGTATGTATGTACATACGTATGCATATATGTACTTTACGTACGTATGGATGCATATGTATGTATGGCTGCAATTTGAAGCGTGGCGTGAGCTATAATGTACGGCCTTCACGTCTCTGCCTATGCTGTCAAATGATTCCGGCAAGACCAGCAATGTGCGGAGATCTTAGTGAATGGGACTATTAGGTGTTGAAGCGGACCCCAATGGCTCCGGCGTGCGGAGTTATATCCCGATACGTGTACAGGCCGCGGTCAGGTGCTTAGATAGACTCAGATCGGGGCCATCTGGGTAACGACTAACGGACATAGTCGTACAGGGTTAGCGCTCTGAGTAGTCAAGCTTTTCGTTCAACATCGTTAACCCATCCGGCCAGGCATCACCCTCCATCGCCATGGATGGCCCAACCCACCGTTTTCAGATGCCCCACTATATTGTACGTGAGACTGGACGTGCTGCCAATGACTAGGAAGGTCGACAAGCTGACGAGGATACCCAGCAGTGATGACGCAACGATGGCACCAACCGCCGCCGCAGTGTACGGAAACCCTAGTACCGTATCAGGCCGCCGAATCGCAAACCCGTAGTCATCCACCAAGGGTGACATCACCAGCAGAAGCATGATGGCCTGATGAGTCATAGAGTCGTACAACATGGCGCCCAGAGGGTACGAATTAATGGCCAGGCAATACGGGTAGGAAGTAAGGGTGCAGGGAAAGTGTATTATTTGTGTTATTTTTCCAACACAAGCGCACGTTGAATTCGGAAGTGGTCCGCACCATCATCATGCCTTGAGGAGAAAAGCAACACGTTATAAGGGTAATCGTCTGATGGACCAATCATCCGTGTTGTATTGAAAAACACCCCAAAGTCTTCTTTCATCCTGTCGGAACCTTTGCTTCGCGCGTCTTCGTTGGCATGCCCAACTGTCCTAACGGCCGTTAACGTCCCCGACGTGAAAGGGACCTTTTCGCCCGCCAAAATAACCTTCGCATGCCTTGCGCTGCTCCGAAACCACAACTGAATGTGGTCCAAACCCATACCAGCGCAAGGATACGAAAGGACCCATCACATAATGATATACATTTAATGTTATATACAAATATATTAATATATATGCATATATTAATATATTAGCATATATATGCAAATGTAAAATATATTAAACATATATGTATGTATATATATTAATATACATATTTTCCCTTTTCTCCTCTCCCGGCACGCACCTGCGGCGTATATGCTAGCAGCAGTTGTGAGCTGCTGGCTTGAAGCTCCTTCTGTTTTGACCCCGCCCAAATCTGGTACAGTGCCGTAACAAGTACGGACGTAAGGCCCACAAAAAGGCCCAGGACGTTGGATATGGCTACGCTGTCCGTTACGGTGGCGGCGGTCACCCCCGCGCAAACCACGAAGACGGACATCATAATGCGCCATGTCTGCGTTCGGCTGTGAAGGATGAAGTCCAACAGCATCACTGTGGGTGCAATTGCGATCTGCGTGGTGTGACACAGATGGGCAGATGTGAGGTTTAAATTTTCGTTGCGTTCGGGCTCTTCGTCGCCACAAAACGTCTGAATAATCTTTGGTCACCCATAGGGACCTGTCCTTATTTGCTATACGAAGGTATGGCTTATAGGCAATCAAAGATTTTACTGAGGTGAGGTGGGGATTGTGCCTTGGGTCGGGTCGGCGGTGCGAAAGCATGGCACGGATTTTGGGGTTGGGCAGCGCACGAGGCAAGGGTTAGTGTTCAGGGTTTAATGCAGTTAGTGGCGCGAAAACGAAACCGCGGTATGTTTTGGATTTGCGCACTGCCACGTAGGCCGGTTGTCAGTATGGGCGAGGTCAACATACAACGTATAGTGAGGCGAGATGCGGCAGGATGCAGGAAGGTTTTGCAACGCGGCAGGGCGCGGCAAGGCGCAACAACATGTATATTGGGTACTGCAAGGCTACAGGGCATGCAGAGCGGTGAACAATGTCCCATTTCATTTTCGGAGCCGAGGGACCCCCCTACTACTCCCAAGTGGCCTACCTTCAGAATTTGATAAAATCCTACGGTGTTTAGGTTTAAGGATAGGTTATTTAATATGATGTACCCCACGTAGCCCAGCGCAAGCGGGGCGACGGCCACGGGGCTGAAATGCTTGGCCGTGAAAAAGTTGACACGGGAAAATGCTAACATGCCAGCCCAGGTAAAAGTGGTATGCACCAAGGTCAAAGTCGTCACAAATCTGAACCTGCGCAATTGTGGCGGCAAGCAGTGCGCTTACGAATCCATGCTCGGTAGCGGCGAACACCCCAAGGCGCTCCGATACTCACCGATATGCCGTAAAGACGAGCTTATTAACAAAGACGATGCAGCACGCGCTGAAAACATTGAGGGCAACATAAAAAACTTTGATGTAGGGGGACGTTTGCCCGTTAATCCCTGCCATGACGGAGAACGTGACGCGAGCTAAGCCCAACTGATAAAGAAAATATGTCAATGAAGTGCCAGCGCTGTAAGAAGCACGACCGTCTTCGAGCTTTGGGACGACATAAATAAATTGGTCAGTCAGACTAAGAGTTCCCGGCAAAATCAAACTCCATTTTCACGATGATTTACTAATATCACCCAAGGTAAGGCGAAGTCTAAGGCGGAAAGTTTTCTCAGAGACCGTTAGCAGCCGCGCAGGGTTCTGATGACAGCAATCCGCTTACAGTATCGCGCAATAAGTATCCATAAACCAAAATTAACTATCAAGCAACTCCGAGCAACCTGAGTTGCTTCAAACATACATCCATGCTGCGTGCCCTACCTAAGCTGCCTGCCATAAGCCCCTCGAGTGTGCAAGTCCATAATTCACATGGTCAGTCCTTGATGCGACTGGCCTCGAAACAGCTGTACGCAACACTGCGAAAATTGGACTACTTCTTCTGCTTTGCCTCATGCCCTAATGGACACCTGCACAGGTGTTCCTTCATTCATGCGATTCGCGCATCTGTGCTTCTGTACGCTTGGCGTCTACAATAAAGAAGTCCAGGAAACCATCCTGAAGCTGCTGTAGCTGGCGCTGCTCTCTGCTGCAGCTGCAGCTGTAGCCGCCGAGGCTGCACTATCGCGCTAGATAGTAACAGTCTCTGTGCGCTGGACCATGCATCTAGCTGCGCCTTCTCACTATTCTGTCGGCCTATAAACTTGACTTGACTAATTGAACCCTAAGTTTATAATAAAAGTTGGCGAGGTGTGTGAACCTATGGCTAAGGCCACACTTCCCCGTGCACGACATCTTCCGGATTTTCCCAGGGCGCGTGGGACCCTCTATTTCATGCACAATAATCGCTGCGTTGACAACTGCTAACACAACGCTATCACAGGAGCCTTGATTACCCCCCAACCGAAAGACGGATGATTCCCATTACAAAACTTTTAGCCATCCGGCGCCATCCCTGGCAATTGACTGAATGATTTTACAGTAAATCCTGACAAATAGATCAGTGGTTGATGCCCAGTCAGCTGATGACTCTAACACTGTCCTGGCAGATAAGGCCCAAAGGAAACACCCACAGGGCCCTAAGAGCCCCGTTCGGATAGCAACAGGCAACCAGAGCCACTTCCCCCCTGCCTGCCCAGTAACACTTCTAAGGGGATGCCCCATTAAACACGGCCCACGAAAAGGGGATGCCCAGTACGTGATGGAGGTCACGAGGGGTGGGGAACTTATCCAATCAGTGGCACCAACCGGCAGAACCGCAACTCCCTAGACAGCCGATAGAGCTCTCGAAGATTCGGCAGGGCACCGGGGGCCCTCAGGATTTAACGCGAGCCGCCCAGTCGACAAAGAAGTCCGAAACCACAAACACCAGACCCACGCTCTCTGCGCCGGGATAAAGGCTGCGAGGGGTTATATCAAAAACCCTACCACCGCGCACCACCCAAAGCTGGAGTTCGATTTGCCGTGCTGTTGTCGTACAAACCGGCCCAGCGCACGCAAGCCTAAGGCCGCTTGCAACAGTTGTTACGCAATGGTGATGCGAAATGCTCTAAAGCAGCTGTTGGAAATACACGCACGCAAAGCATTTTGATGTTCGTGGGTGGTAGCTACTGCCCGAGGAGGACCAACACGGCACTGCAGTAGCTCTGCAGCATGTTTATGCAATGATATTCCATAATACAAATAATTTTCATGCTCCCGCACCTTATAAAGGAGTTGCAGCACCGACAAGACAAGGCAAGATGTTACATATTGTACTGGCCGTATGGGCGATTGTACCGGCCGTACTGGTCAGCAGCAAACCTGTGGCCCCCCATTAAGAGCGGATATCCGTCAAGATCAGACCAGAATTCAGAAGCTACCAGTCCGTTTGCGCAAAAACTCCTCCACACCTTCTGAATCTGTTCCAAAGCATTTGCCTTGCTGGTCACATGCTAATATTTTTTTCGCATTTCCATACTATTAGGAGACTCTATGGCACGCCTGAAAGGTTCATAAACCCGAGCGAGGCGATCCTGAGCTCCTGAGCTCCCATCACGCTGCTCTGCTCGGATTACCGTCTGCTCACCAAAGTGCTGTGCTGGTTAACCACCTAAGCCCCGCCCTGGGCCCAGCCATCACCCCCGAGCAATCAGCCTTCCTACCCAAGCGCCTGATTGGGGCCAGTGTGCTTTTCCACCAGTCGCACCTCCTTCACAAGCAAGACCGCAGGGGGCATTCCTGGCATTCCTGGACTTCGCCAAGGCGTACGACACGATGGATCACGGGTTCCTCCTCCTGGCGGCGAGGGAGACCAGGGGAGCAGGGCCCTTAGCTCTGCGCCTGGGTGCGACTGCTGCTGAGCGAAACGTGACCCCGCGCAATGGTGAATGGCTACAAGTCCAAGCCGGTGAACATGGAGGCAGGGGTACGGCAAGGTTGTCCCCTCGTGCCCTTGCCCTATCTCTTCGTCACCCAGGCCCTACAATGCTGGTTCCGGAGCCAAGATGTGGGGATCAAACCACAACCCGCTGACTCATTTAACCAGTCACCGCGTGTCAATATGCAGGCGACACGGAAATGGCACTGGGTGGCGAAAAGTCAGTACCCTCGTTCCCCCAGGCCAGGGACACCTTCGCCCGGGCATCCGGCCAGCGCCTAAATCTTGATGAAGTGGAGCTGCTGTGGATTGACCAACCAAACCAGCAGCAGGCACAGCCTGCAAGCCAGACCTGAACCCAATCAGCAGCCTCTGAGCAGGAGTCAATCGGAGGCCTCAAGGTGGTGACCACTGCCACTGCCACTGCCCCGAACCTGCCAATTGACAACCAGCCATCCTCGCCACAGCCCGACTGGATGGAGAGACTCGGGGAAGCCAAGCGGCAACTGCAGCGGCTGACTCTCCCGCTTCCCGCTGTTGGAATTCGGTCGAGCCACAGCGGCACACGATGTACGGCCTGCAGACAGTCACCTGGCACATGGAGCATGGTGGGCTGCCCCCCAACCGCACGCTGGATGAGATAGAGCGCCTAGCAGCCCGCCCAGTCGACCGACATCAGGGCCCAGATTTTTATGATCCTGGCAGACGCTTGACAGGTGTGCCTAAGGATCTTCTGACCGGTCACCCGGGGGTTCTGGCTTGCTGCCCCTGCAGCAGCACATCCAGGCTCGGCACGCGGTATGGGCTGTGCGCGTCATCATAGCAGCCCTCGGGCTATCTAACGCGTCATGTGGGCCAGGGACAGGTGGACCTGCAGGAACCACGGGTGGTGCCGGGAGGCACGAGGAGGGCAGATGGCGGCCTCCACTCCTGGGTCCGGATGCTTTCCGCCTACCTCCTGTTCACATACCCCGCCTTCCAACCGTGGGCCCTGACGATCGCCAGCCCGGCTGGGGGTTTGAACTGGACTCAGCCCCACACAGTCGGGCGAACCCTAAAAACCCCGCGAAAATCCAGTCAATTATTAGGTGGATCTTTCGGGAATGGAATATTCGGCCGTAAAAACAATTGACCATGTCATATTCGGAAGAGTGTAAAACGCACGTGTACCAAGCGGGCCGTTCGGGCTGGGCATTTTCGACACGTGTACCAGGCAGGCCGTTCTGGCTTCGGCCTGACCTGATATAGAGGCGACTTAGGGAGACCAACCATGTTGGTGCTCCGTATATCGTAATAAAATGCGGATAAGCTTCAAGGTCTCCTACAGGTGACGGATGCACGGGTCACAGAAGCATGGAAACGAGGGAAACGACGATGGCCAGCGATTACCGTTAGGCAGTTTTAACGCGGTTTGCAGGGACTTAGGCTGTTAGGCAGGGAACCTGAAACACTATAATCAACAACTATATATACGCTTACCTAAAGGAAATTTATTTAGGCCTTGCATGAGGATCTTCGTCAGCACCAGTGAAAATCTGAGAGAAGAGTATATTCAAGTGGATTCCATGTCCAAACTGGAAGGCTTCTTGGTTTCAACCGTACTTTATTCCATTCCATGAAGAGCAGAGCATAATCGGAGAAGTGGGCGTACGACCCTTTTTGCCCCTTTTTGACCCTTGTAGCTATGCAGATTGCTTACAGTGACAGGATGGCCTACCACACGTACCTAGATTCCAGCCTGCGTTGCAGGACCCGCAAGTTTGGGAACCAAGTCGGACGCCGATTCACTCGGGGCGTCTCAATCGTCTATGCAAGCACGCATAGTGCACCCCAAACATCACGTCGGTCCGTGCTAACGCTCCTAATTAGTTTGAGTGCCACCAGTTCTTCTGGCGCATTTGCTGAACCAGCACCACCCACTCAAGGCGAGCCTCCTCCGGCCATCGCCTTCCCAGTTAGCACGCCGGCCCCTGCTCCACAGCCGAATGATCCGACGATCTTCACGTATGACTTCGTCTCTGACATTCCATGCAACCTGCGGGTTCGGGAGTATTGGACGATAATCAATCAGACTCGGCCGAGGACATGGCAGCAGATCGCCCAGCAAATCCAAACAGGGAGGTATGATGTTCTCAGCATTGATCTTAATCTGGCACCCATGGCTGACCTTCGGCAAGCAGCGCTTTTCCTGCCGTGGGCGCTCCTCCAGAACTACGACTACACGGCTGCTGCTGATGCCATGAAGGCCTACAAGAACTTGGACGAGCATATTAAAGACTTGCAGCGCGCGGCTTTGGCCGCAGCTACTTTCGCCTCTCCCGAATCGTCAGCACAGCAGGCTCAGCAGGTCCAACAGGCTTTCATCCTCATGTCTGCCTCCCTGGACGGCTACCTCGCGACCGTGCCATCTCGATACACGGCTACTCTCAGCCTCTTTGGGAAAGGCAATGGCAACGGCAACGGGTCAAACAACAGTTCATCAGCCCCTGCACCAGTCCCCATGCCTGCACTGGCTTCTCCCCCATCCCCTGCAGGGGCAGCTACAGGGGAGCCAGTCCCGGAACAGCAATAATCGCCTGAGCGCCGGCTTTTGCCGCTGCTGCGCAGCAACCCATTTCAGGTGTTGCGCTGTGTGGGACTTGGAGCGCGCAGAGAGAGCTGGATACGGTGAGCTCCGTCCTGGGTATGCCTACTTAGCTTCATCGCATGTGGACCCAGCCTTCTCGTATCATGCTTCTGGATATTGTTGGACCCTAGTTCAGTTGTTGTGGAAAGCAATGGACAGGTTAGGGCTAAGGATTTGGGTGTACTCGGACGCGACGGAGCGTGTGGTGTAGTGGAAAACTGGAGAGGAGATGCCGAACGTTGCAAGGTTTGCGAAGAAGAACCCAACTGCGCTGCAGCTTCAGGGGCAGGGCGCTTTGGGAATCGTTCCCCCTCCTAATGTGCGCCTGTAGCAGCTGCGCGGTGGGCCTCGTTGCCATGCCGTGATTTACTTGCGAGAAGCGTAAAATGCTAGGCAAGTGCCAAGTTTATTTGGTTTCCGAGACAAACCGACTTATGCACAGGAAACTGTCTAGCTGATTATTACCTAACCGACAGGTGATAAGCATAGCCCGAGCTTGGAGGTGTTTGTCGTGGCAACTGCGGCGCGAGTTGATACTTAGCCATACCGCCTAGGACGGTAATGCATTCTTGAGGCTTAGCGTTAGAGACTTGCTAGTCTTCTGCTGCACGGCACGGTACCAGACATACACACTAGCACGGTGTTTGTGTTCGAGGGCTGCCTTGGAGCCTCTCATTCGCTGCATGTGAGGCCGGTAGTGCCGGCTGCTTGACCGTTTCCAGTGAAGCAGGAGGAGGCGCATAGCACGTCTGTGTGTGCAATTATCGATTTTCTCCTTGCAAGTTAGACTGGCGGGCTTGTGGGATGATGTAATTGCAAAGGCGAGGTTGTTGTTGTATGCTAGTGGTTGCTTGTATTTGGAAGGAGCAGAAAGAGAGTAATTAGTGAAGTGGCTGTGAACCTGTCCCCATTTGTGAGAATGCTGTAGTGCAGGCTAGCCATAAGAATAGTGTTTGTATCGGTAGAAGTTTTATCTGTGTGGAGCAAATCTTTGTACACGCGTCTTTGGGTTTCGATGGGAAGGAGCTGTTGTAAGTAGTAGTCAAGTTCATTTTCATGCAATTAATAGGAAGAAAAAGTGTATTCTTACTGTTGTGAGACTACTCCTGCTGCTCCGTCCAGAGAAAGCATAAAAGCTCTCAATACGCGCAGCAGTTCAGTTTCCAAAAACCCACATAACCAATTGGACCGGGGACGGACTATATGCACCTACAACATATGCATCGTTGCTCTTGCATTTGCACAGCTTGGGTGCTCGCAATCTTTATCAAATATCCGAATGCGAATACGGTCGCGATGTCCGCCATGACACACAAAGGTGGTCACTGGCGCGACCTGGCCTTTTTCCCCTCTCAGGAGCTCATATAATTCCCTTCGGGACACAGCTCTTGCCAAAAGGGAGCACGCCAAATACAAGGTGACACGTGTGGCGATCCATGCGCAGAAAACGTGTAGCATGCTTGCACGTGCATGAGCATGGCACGAAGGTGGTTGTCCACTATTATATAGCCACAACGGCAGATCCCCCACCTTTCCAGTACAGAACCTCCTATCCAGTACTTCACCAAGAAGCGACAACTCAAAAAAGCCCAGCAGTTCCACAACGCTCAACCCATCGCGACGGTTTGTGTTATCACTATTCTTTGCCGTATATGCAGCGAAAACCCATGACAATTCCCCAACAACAGCCGCAGTAGCAACAGCAGATCCGTAATAGCACCACCTGCCCTCAATAATACGTAAACACACCAAGCGCACACATACAAAGTGTCGACCCCCGCCTCTTCAGTCCTCGGTCAATCCATGGCATCTATCATTGATGCCCCGTCCTATCCACACACTTTTCAAGAAAACAGGAAAGTTAGGAAAGCCCTAATTGCCCGCATTTCGAAGACATGCCCTGTGGTACAGCTTTTGCCGGAAAACATCGCTGGTCGCAACCCTTTCCTTATCACCACCTAACCCGCTGGGCCCCCAAAAATACGGCCGAACACGGCGTCACCAACAAGGTAAAACTAAACTGGGCGGCTACGCTAAAACAGGCGCCTTGCTTTTTTTCCAAACGCGACAGAGCCTGTCGACCAGTCGACACAGTTCATTTTCGTCAGAAACTACCGGGCGTCAAGATTAAGCTGTTAGAGGCTCTGCAGTCCGGCATATTTACGAAGGCGCTCCGCCGTCAAGAACATAATGACTGTATGGGGACCCAGACGAGCGTAGCTAGCAGACCAGCCCTGCAATGCATCATTACGGCAAGAAAAGAAGTCAGTACATCTACTGACGCCTGCGGGCCATGACGCTTTGCGAGCCATGGTCGCCTTGCAGGTTGATGTTTTGGCATGCAGCGTCCTGACTTTGATGCGATATAACGCGGCCAAACCAGTACATGGTGGGCCCGATCTCATCGTACGCATCGCAACCACTTCCCAACCACTCGACGACTCCCAAACGGTCATTTTCAGAATCAACCCTGAAACCATGATAAACAACATTTGGTGCGACTTAAATTGCCCATTGCAAATTCACATACCTTCATGAAGCCAGCCAGGCCGTCCGCCCGCAGTACGTGCTTCGCGCATTCAATTGGCCCGCTGAACGTCTTGCCACCTGCAGCCATGCAGTGTGAAATCAAAAATAGAAGTGAAAGCGGATTAATTAACCGATTACACCTCTTCTCGCGAAGAGATGTGTTACCAAACGAATTTCCGTCCTCCATGTGGAATTTGAATTCAAAATTTGAGTTCTATCGGTTTTCGTTGCAACCGCGTACACGGCTGTGAACAGGCAATTGCAATCTATATTCGCTTTTAAATTCTTCAACAGATAGCAATTAGGCGAAAACGTGGGGAGTGTCATTATTTGCTTACCGACGAACATGCGTGTCTTGATAACATCGATCGGGTTCGTAATCGTGGTTGTCACAAGACCGGCAATCATCGAGCTGGTGAGATGGAGCGCAACGCCATCATTCCAGCCAGTAGTCGCCACGACGCCGCGTTTCACCTCATCGTACGTGGCACATTGCGCCGCTGTCAAGATAGCAGACCGAATCTGTAGCCAAAGAAACAACCAAACAGCAACAAACGGCGGATGAAATTTTATTTCACAGTACGCGAGCCGCGACACGGGATTAATTTTGCATTTATGAATTTATTCCCTTCTTCCCGATTTCGGTTGTCTGGAGCAATTCCCAATAGAAAGCGATTCCGATGCCGCACGGAAGGGAAAGGAAGGACAGATGTTAAATCATGTAACTCAACATTCTTAATAACCAGAAACGCACCAGGCCGGGCATAGCTCCCTTCCAGAGCCCGGAGATTCCGTCTTGCGCCACGACAGCACGGATAACACCCATACTCGTCTTAGCCGCCGTCGGGTCACGTCCTGCCGCTTGAAGACGCGTCTGCGAGAATTGAAAAAAGGGATGCCACCAACCGTCAATTTAGCATCACATTTTCAACTTCTGGGTTTGCAGAGTAGGAAACACGCGGGGTTTCCCCCGCAGATTTCCCCCGTTGTTCTCTAGGATTCAAGACCGTCCGTGCGTCTCGGAAAACACTTCGTAAGAAACAAAATTGACTGTCATAACGACCCGTACACTCACTTCTAAATCCTAGGAGCTTCGAAGAGAGTCGCTGGACAAGAGGGGCTGGCAGACAGTTGCGGGTTATAATGTACGGCACCGGTTCCGGCATTGCCCCTTGCATCCGTTGTGGGGACACGTCACGTGTTATTGTTTCTACCGCCGGTGGCTTCAACAACGCGTAATGCCAATGCCGACACGGCAGTGGTTAACAATCTGACCACATGGCCACCATTCGTTCCCACCTTGATCAGCTCAATGGGCGATGTCACGGCCGCCGCGAGGCCGCCACTTATCGACCCAGACAGGACCTTCATCTCCAGCGTTGGCTTTGCTGCCTCCCCGCAGATTACGGTCTTGATGGGCGTGTACAACCCCAACCGAGCCCCTGAGGTGCGCAGGGCCGCCCACAGCACACAACAAGGAAACGGCTGACAACATATTAAGATCCACAACACACTGCTGCCCATGCTGTACGAATCACGACCTATCGCTCGTGCATGTGCTGCAGGTGAAAAAAATACTACCATTGCTTTACAGAGACGCGAAATTCGCCCCTTGTGTAAAGGTATGCAGGATTAATGGATGTATGATTGAACAAGCAAGGGGAACCTAGGTGTGTGTGGTTGTTACAGTGGGCTCCAGACTCCCGAAGAGTAGAGCCATCGGGCCAGCTGGCCGTGCACTGCAGTAGAGACTAATATACCAAAAGATTATCATCTCAGATAATTAACCTCTCATCGGTAACCGCTCTCGCGAACAAATCAATTGGTGGTAACCTAAATTAATTACTTTTTAAAAATATTTTTTTATATAATACCTAGGTGGTAACCTAAATTAATTACTTTTTAAAAATATTTTTTTCGACACCCTCACCGCCAAAGAAGAACCCTCGTGCGAGGGAGGGACCCAAGCCGCTCCAGAGCGCCGGGATGCCCTCGTTCCGAACCACCGAGATGCCAGTCGCCACCTGCATCAGCATCACAAGTTTTCGCCAGCATTACACAAGCCGCGATAGAAGCAGCAATAGCATTATTATCAGGTAAAAATGGCTAAATTTCCTTTCATGAAGATATTTTTTTTGACAGGCATGACAATGTACCGTAGAGTGCAGGATGACAAATCAAACTAAGCTGTAGCGAAACGCTGACAAAAGTGGTTCCAGGATACTGCTGCTTCAATGTCAACATGGTGGCATTAATTCCAACGTCCTGAATCCTGAGGATGAGATAATACTTCGCGTCAGTCTGACGAGCCCCGCCATGACGAAGCGTCCCTGGCTGCTCTCACCATGCCAGGTGGCTTGACACCAGCGGCAACTTGGTTTCTCGCAAGTTGCAGTCGAACCTTAATGACATCTGCAAGGAGAGAGAAGCATGGCGAAACACGTCGTTGGCGAAACAAGCACAGTGGCAGAGACGAAAAACTATTAAATATTCCAGTGCCCGTGTGCATGTGTACTGCAGCAACGCAGTGGCGTCCGGTGAATTTCTTTATCGCCTATAGAAAGAGAGCCATCGTATAATAGATAGGGTCAAGAATTAGATCGTAAACAGAATCATAGTATGGAATGGTCTACAGACCGTGCCATGGTATATAAATAGGCCAGAAAATCGATGGTCCATAGAAGAGCGAAAATTTCAGACGGGAAAACCTTGGGTCCCTACGGAATGCCCCCCGCGAGAAAGTCATGTGGATAAAAGGCGCCTGGCAAGGCATTCGTAGAATAGAATGGCTCCACATGCCGTAATGTCCTGCAAATACGACCCGTAGTACTTACCTAGAGGATTCGTGGCTGTGTTGGCGGTTCCGACAGAGATGCCCGAGGTGTACAGTTCGGTTATCACCGACTTAGGGATGAACAAGATGGCTGCGTTGCTGCCGCTAGACTTCTCGGTCGTTGCCGCGGCTGCAGCCGGAAGCTCGATAACCTTTGGGAAATCAAGCAGGACAGACCGACATGACAGCCAGATGGATATACTAGTCCGGAAGGAAAAGCCAGTAGACATGCGGAATGAACACATTATAGCGATGGCACCGTGTTATATGATTATCTGTACCGAGTACGCGACACGCAATTATTATTCACTGCTTGGGGATTAGACGGATGGGGAGGGGACGCACGGCACATGAGCTGGTTTGGATATAAAACATAATATTAGAGACATGAACGTCAGTTTGTTGTGCAATCTCCATTTTGCACGATGGAAGCTTGTTGAGTAGCAAAGGAGCACCATGCGTGCCGAACGACCGAAGGACGTGTGCTTGTAAAGGTCACAAATCCTTGCCAGTCTCTCTGTGATAGCAATATACAAATAGCGCTGGGCATTTGCGTACCTTCTGTGCCATTTTGCTGCTGTGCCTAGGCCTTTGGCTCCCGGTCCGGTTGACGGTCTCGAATCCGCAATCGAAAACCCAAATTGAAAACCAATATGTAATTCAGTCAAATGCGATAGTTCTTGTGCCGTCCGACACGATGCGGTCCCAGCCTCTAGCGGCGTCGTTCAGATGAGACCAGCGAAAGCGAAAGCCTGTAAACAGCAACGACGCAGAACGACATAATGAACACATTGCAACCTATCCCAGATACTTGATCGTTCAAAATTAAAAGGAGCGCCGTCCTACCGGGTGTCTGCGTCCTTCGCTGGAAAGTTGGTGGTGGTTGTATACTACGGCGGGCAAGCCCACAAGCCTCACTGGGACAAGCAAATGACCTAAGCCGTCAAAATCACACAAGGTAAGATGTATGGACTCACTTGTACTTACAATACGGTCATCTCGGCTTTGTATGTTCATAACCATGCTGACGACGGACAACCGCCCTTACTCTGTACGGCAACAAACCTGCCAGCCGGCAAGCCCGTATACTTACGAAGGTTACATGATAAGCTTATAACTTTGTTTCGTCGCGCCTGGAAGTGGAAATTTTGCGGACGGAACGGACGTCCTATGGTAAGCATTCAGCAACGGCTAGCTGGTAGCTGATGCATGACACGTCAGACCTGACTGGCTCAGTTCATTAGGTATAATTTGACAAATTCTTATACTTGGGCCTTGAGCTCGCCTGCCTCACACTTGACCTAGCTCGAGTTGGAATGCCATCACAAATCTTTGAAGCTATTTTGCAATAGAGGTAACACCCTGCGGCTAGTAAATTTACTGGAGATAAGTACCGCGTCCAATGCCACATATGTTTGTGATGTCATCGTGCCATAGTGCAATCCTAGCTTGGCCGTTGTTTAAGCAGCACTGTCCTTCGCCCAATACATGAGCCGCAGGCCAGGGCCGTTTCAGACCTTATTAATTCACTCGTTTTCATTGCAGCAACTGTCTGCGTACCAGCCCTCGTTGGCAACCATCAAATTCAGGTTGCTGGTCACAACCAAGCTCCCAGCCGCGTCAACAGCTTCCAGCCCGGCACTGCGCGGCTGCCTTGGAATCCCGTAAAACTACAAGACATGGCCCCGGCAGAGTTTTCAAAGCACTGTACGCCCGGAGAACCGTTCCGCGTCTGTTTGCCTTCTGTCTGTCGCCTGTAGAAAAACCCTGGACGTCGAAAAACCTCCATCGACGTATCGTTTAACGACCTTGCGCGTATGCCCCTTCCCCCCGTCGAAGGTCGCCCTCTTGCCGGTAACCAGCAGGGGGCCACATTGCAAGTTGCCAGGAACGTGGAATAGCATCCATGTGTCGCACAGCGTGTTTGAATGGCGCCCGTAGGCGCGCACTCATCGCCGATAGGAGAGCAAGTTCTACGCTACCACCGGTCACGCCGAACAATGCGCGTAGTCGTTCAACGCACAAACAAAACTTGGCAGCATGATAACTTCGCAACAAATACTCTTGGAGTGTATTGTAGGTAGAGTGTACTCCCGGAGTCCGGCCGTGTTAACTTTGGGTTCGCCTGTACATCAACTCCGCCAAGCTGCTGATGTGGAGGGATTGTATCTCTTGCGTTGCCGGGGGTTCGGTTGCGGTCCTGGTGGTTGGGTGAGTGGACAGCCCGCACTCACGTGAAGGAAAAATCTGCCTTAAGAAGGCGAGTGCGCGAAGAGCACACGAAACACGAAAGAAGCAGGAGACCTTCGAAGCCGCTGCTATGGGGTCTTGCTCGCAAACGCCTCCTCAGGAACCGCCCGAGGGGATTTCTTCCTTAGCTGTCCGCATCTCCCTGCGTGGCCCCTCGGTCCATCAGTCATTGTCTTGCTGGCCGTCTCATAGGGTATGCGGAGCAGCTGGCAGAGTGCGCGTACGGAATATCTTTTGTTGCAACATGTGAAAAAATAGAATCTTATAGTAAACTAGACAGTAAACTATATTGGGGTCTAGTATAACTAGAATTCCCTTGTGTGTACGTAAATGTCGTGGTGTCACAGAGGCTGTAACCGGGATAGGGGGAAGCGATAGGGCTGTGCAGGGAAGAACCGCTGCTGTGGGGCGCAAAGGGCAGTGGAGGGCCGATGTGTGACGACGCGAGTTAGCAAGTTCCGCACGTGGGTGCCAAATCCCCTTGAAAATGGATCAACAACATGGCATTACTTAAAAATTCGGCATAATGGAAAATGCGCTGTTGTCGTGTTGCGAGTAGTGTATGCCTAGGGTTGAACTGGGCCGATTGCGATCCGGTATAGCACAAGTATATACGTTTAAGAAGTGAGAATGAATTCTTAAGAGATCGTTGCGTGTTAGACCTATCTGGCTCCTGGTCAACATAGTCGCCGACCTTTCAGCTTCTTCATATTTCGGAGATTGACGATCATACTGATACTTATGCAAATAGGACGACTGGAACCCGAATAGTGCTTATCCGCCCGACGCTACATGTGGAGGCCCTAGTGGGTATGCAGGGCTTTGCGAAATTTTGCGGTTATCGATAGAGCGTTCAGCCAGCTGGTCCTCTCAGCTACATTTCATGTAAAATAGTCCATCTCGTGATGCATTCCTCGCATTTGATAGTCTGGCTAATGATGAGGGCATCGTACGGCGAGCGTCCCTAACTGACACGAGAGAGCACCCCTAAAAGAGGAGACCACCTGCAAACATGGCCTCCACGGCCTGAATTGCCAACATCAACTTAATTTTATATGCTGTTCCTGGGTTGGCTTGGCTATGATAATCTGAGAAACCACCTTAATCAGAAAGCTGACTTCCTTGAAAGAATAACCCTAGGAAAAAAACATAAGTATATTTGGAAACCCTTTTCGAATCATCTTGTGATTTTGTTGTCCACTTGCGCTGGCAGTTTTGTTTACCTGCGTTGCCTAGAGAGTACAATAGCTTTTCCAGAACGTTTTGGAGGGTAGAATCTCACAAACGCTTTGAAAATATATTATGGCTCCATGTCATCATAGCTGTATTTGCTGCTTTACCCGGGCGATGACGGCTGACCTGCAACGCTGCGCGGAGCTGATCTGATTGACACTCATAGACTGCGCGGGTGCTGCGATTTAATAATAAATGCCTGCTGGGAGTAGCCAGCCTATTGCCATTAAAGGCAGCATGCCCAGCAAGGCTACGCGCGAATCAAGGGATGCGGTGCCAGCGGGCAGCCTTGAGGAGGCGCTTGTAAATTTGAAGTTGAGTACAAAGGATCCAGAGCAGACTCGGAGGTTAGACCACGCGCTTCATGTACTAAGCGATGTCGTCAGCGGGCCCAACATCTGCTGCGAGGACCACGAGGCGCTCTGGTGGGAGATATTTGCCGAGGTATTTGTCACCGAGGTGGGTCAGCTCACGGCATATTGGAGTCGTCTGGTTCGCGTGATGTGTGCGCACGGTTGACACACGTCCGTCCCCTTGGACTCGTCGAAGGTTTTCACAACTTAAGATCATGACACACATTTCACGCCGCGAAGAAAACGTCATGCAGTTTTGTCCCTGCACCCCAGCTCAATTCACCTACCGAGCCTTGTAACTTTCCTTTATACCGGAATCGCTCATATTGCTGTTGTTGACCCGCAGCGTCCCAGTCCTTCCCCTTTCAAAATGCTTGCCAATCATTACAGAAATTCAATTTCTATCACTGAAATTGCCTCAACCCTTCTGCGCGCAGGTTGCGGCACAGACACACGCAGCGGGCGGCCGGGAGCCTTCGTCCTCCTGCAAACGGCAGATCCTGGCTGACATCCTGGTCTGGGCGGAGGTGACGCAGGACCATTACGACAGCGGGACGCAACGGTGGGACTAGACGCAAGGGGGGGATGCGGTAGTGAAACAACCAATTCCAGACCGCCGGTCTGCCAGAGCGTCTAACTGCTGGAGTTGCTCTCCTCACCCCGGATACTGCTGTCTATAATTCTCATCCCGGGACCGAAACGAGTCCGTGCAGTTCAAACCTTCGGTGTCGCTGAAAGGGATGAAAGGGCTCCCAGGAAAGTGAACGAATGCAGCAGGAACGGGTATAGCGGGGAAGGAGTCAGGTGGTAACATAGCTCACCTTCACATGGGCGGGGTATCACGCGGGGGGATCGATGCCGGGACAAAGCGCCCCTAACCGAAAACCACATCCGCCAACCGATAACCGAAAAGCTGGACCCTCAAACCACGTGCAGAGTTATTCCTCCTATAACATCTGTTCCTGAAATGAGAAAACGCTGATCATACCGCTTATGTCGTCGCCCAGGTTCGTGACGGAGCCGCACGAGGCGGACGAATCCTTTCAACGCATAGGACGGACTTTCCGAGCACTAAAGGCCAGGCGGGGGTTGGGCAAGTCGCGCGCATCGTCATCAGACTTGTCCGGGGACGGGGACGGCATCAACGCGGGCGCGCTGTGCGTGTCGCGACTGTCTTCCGGGGCGGATGTAGATGATACCACCCGGTCCGACTCGAGCTCGGATTTGCGCTGATGTGGGTCAGAGCTGTTACGAACACGCCATGGGAAGCCACGGGAAGATCTCGGCAAGCCATGCGAAGATCTCACAAAACACAAGCCTACGTCTCCTGGCGCTCTACACGGTCATTAACATGCATCCATGGCATGGCATGGCATGGATGCGGTGAAGGCGATTGGAAGGGGAGGAAGGGTTGTTTTCTTGACGACAACGACAGCCGGATGCCCCGTGTTAGGGCCCTAGCGAGCTTGGGGAGCTTCCCCGGCGCCACAGCTTTATAAAGTGCTTACAGAGATGTGCTCTCACAGAGCTGGAGGACTTGAGCCAACGCCGCAAGGAGCCCGCCGGCAACCTAACACTCACCCCAGCGCACCCAAGCGGTCCTGGGTTAGGTGGAGTAGGGTGCAAGGAAGGGCAACTTAGGGTTTGCTGCTACGGAGGCCGCCGCCGGCCACCAGTGTGCGACGGTAACCCGCATAGCGCGCTAGCGGCAGATCAGCGACGTGCGCTGAGTCTAGTGCACGATGCCGAGCCCGCTGTGCACGGAAGAGCAGCAAAGCGCAGCGGAGGCTAGAAATGTAATTGCGGCAGCTGAACTGCGCGTGGGTGGAGAGGGTAGTTGCGAGCGGAATGCAGATATCCTCTTGGCGCGTCTGCGCTGTCGTGGCGAGGTTTGACGGGTTTTGGAGCTGGATTGCTGCTGTGTGGCAACTGAGGAGGCGCAGCAGAGGTGGAGGAGGACGGCTGGGACGAGGACAAATACGGCAGTTACGGCAGCTGCTCTAGTGCGAGCAGCTTGGCGGGGGGATTAGGATTCATGGCGAGTATCATGTGTTACCGCTGTGTATCATGTCGTATGCACTGTATACACCCATAATGCACCGGAAATTCCGTGAGACTGGTTAGGGGATGGGAATTGCCACGTCTTCTTTTTGATTTTTGCACTTCTTTTCGCATCAGCCTTTGCCCGCAACCCATATGGCGCCCCCTGTGGCTTTGAGGAGGTACGACATGTGATGGTCGTAAGAGTTCGGGCGCTGATGGGTGGGCTGATTTTGTTGCGCATGTGGAAAGTTTGTTGCGTATCTAACTGAAGCACAGAACTGCTAGTTCATTTGCTGATGATGAATGGCGTTACAGTGGATCTAATGTTGTTGTGTACGACATTCAGCTGTCGTACGGTTTGAGGGCATTGAAAATGAATTTGCATGGTAATTCGAGGCGGCGTTTGGTGTTAACCATCTGGACGTGGCGTAATAACTGGATAGGTACAGATTTGGAAGAGGCTGCCGCCGCGGCCACTTGTTGCCGGACAACACACCTAAGCCCGCAGGCTGTATGAGGCCCAGAAGCTACCTCACGCAGCTAGACGGCGCTAGACAGCTTCCTTCCTTGATGCCGACCACTGGAAGGGTGATGCAACGGTGCCTCCAGGACGTGTGCAAAGCAGTCGTGATGTCTGTCTGTCTGTTTGTCTGTAGTTTATTGTTTGTTAGGAGGGAATAACAACAACGGTAAACTCTTGATTTGTATGTGTCTCGGAACATCTGTACCTAGCGTGAAATATTGCGCGTGCATCAGAAGGTCAGAAAGTATGACACATGCAGGGTGCACATAAGAGAGCGAGTCGGAGTTAGAGAGGGAGTGCGTGTTTGTGTGTAGATGGGCCTGAATGTTGTGTGAAATTTAGGCCAAAAATGTTACCGCAAGGGGGGAGCGCCCCAGTCTTTCTGTTTCTGTGTATGTGCCTGTGCCTGCGTTTGGTGTTTCTCCCAAACGCGGAGAGTGCGATGCATGCATGATCTTCTTCCGCAGAACTGGCAGCAGCAGCAACAGCAACAGGCTTTGCTTTGGGGGATATGCCCGTGCTTGTGCAAAGGTATTTCCGTTGCCGGTCCTGTACTCCTCCATGGCGACGGTGACAGTGGTGGTTTTGCGGGCAGAACCTTGGTCGTCCTGAATAGGGCCCACAGGCCGGCTCCGGAGTGGCTTCTGGTGCGTATAAACCATAGCAATGTCGGGGTGGGGGGTGGGATATCGAGTCATTAGGCACTTGCGGGAGGGGTCATTAGGCACCAGTGCGGGGGATTGCTGTGCTGCAAGTCATGAGAGAGTATGTGAGTCTGTGACCAGACCCGTGGTTCATGGCGAAAGGACTCGCTCTCTCTCTGTCGGATTGGCCCCGGGGCCTGCTCGGAAATGCTTTTTTGCCGGATGTGGGATGGGGTTTGTTGGTATTTCGGTTCACGATGAAGAGTGAGACTTTCGAATGGTGATGCATGCAATGTATATGCAACACTGCGTGAGCAGGCGGGTCAGGGGAATGATGGGAAAAAGCATATGGAGAGAGAATACGTACGTATCTTCCCCCTCCGCCGGCTATACGGCTTCGTCAGTTTGTTGGGTGCCAATGCGCCTCCACCACACCACGCTAATGTACTAGTTCTTTACTACTAAAGTTTACTGAATGCTGTATATCTCAGTCGGCTATCGGTGCCGTGTGCACCCCCTCCCCAATAGGCCGACGTGTGTATCTTTTCGCTGTTATGGCACGTGTTAGTCCGTCTGTCTGTCTGTCTGTCTAAGTGTCCATCTGTCTGTCGGGTGTCTATCTGCATGGGTAATTTTGTGTCATACGCTCGATGGCCAATGCTTTCCTGCTTGTCTCTTTCTTTCAATACTAATACCGAAGCGAGACTGCCTGGCAATTTTTTTTAAAAGGGCCTAATAGCCGTCTTGTCTCGGCGAAATTGAAAATTGGCATCAATGTTTTCAGGGTTAATGATAGCTGGAACGAGATGACACGAGGTCGTCGGCGAATCATGGAATACATATAATTAGTTTAGTTGCTGCGCCGAGTAGAGCAGTTGTGGTGATGAAGTCGACATGCGGCACTTGGCACTTGTTTGCGGGTCTGGTGCACTCGTCGATGCCTGGTGAACGCTTTATTGTTGTTGCTGTTATTACAGAGTGGGGGGCGTCTGGGCCATTTGCACACATGTGGAATGTCATATGTCCAGGATTGAACACCATACAGCAGCATCCATTACCATTCCCACACTGTACTACGCCATACGAACTGCAAATCCAAGGCGGCTGCTCATTCTGCCTGCTAGAATCCCTGCTCGTCCTTTATAGCTGTCCCTCTTCTAGGCTCTGTCCTTTGCTGTATTATCTCCGCTGTATAAAGCAGTTGTCGGAAACGTTGCGAGGGGATTAGTAAGATTACACGAGCAACACCCCTCTACCAGTGTGAAAAAGATAAGTGTCAGCAAGTACCCTCCCCGCACCATCGAACTGCCTGTTAACTGAACTGACACGAAATTTTCCCCATTATAATATGTCAACCAAACAAACACCTAAAACCAAATGTCTTGAGTTATGCTGAACCTTGGGTAATGAGTTAACGGCTCCTAGGGGGTATTACGCAGCAACGACACACGATACCTGTCTTTGGAGCATGTCAGTCGCGTGGGGGAGTGCGGCATGCAGGCCGTGTAAGGCCCTTGAACACCACAGCACCCTCCTCCCTGGTGACGGAGCCGCCCCTCACAGCGCCCACAATCGACAAATTTCCTAGAGGCAATATGCACACACATCCACCGCTGAGCGAAACATGCACATGCACACAGCCAGCGCTTGGCTAGAGAGGCTCGGCGCTCTCACCGCTATCCTACATGATCATCCTTCGCGAGGATGAGTTCCGCAACTGTACATTACGTGCCTGCCTGACTGACTGACGTATTTTAGACATTTGGGGCGTTGACGCTGGCGCTGGTCATTACATACACAGATTTCGTCGGGACATATCTCCTCGATAAAGAGGGCATCCGGCGGTTACCACCATTCCCCTGGAAGCTGTAACTCAGTTCGTAATCACCGTACATACAACTCACACACCATATTATGTATCAATCATTTAGGAGCGAACATCGCCTACATTAAATGCAAGCGGAATTGTTTGTGATGTGCCTGCGAATGTCCATATAGCTACTGCGGTGGGGGATCAAGTGCGCACCAAAGCAAAACCCCGAGGTCACCTGGGCAGGTTGTACGGCAGGTTGGGCTTCTGAGGGTTGGGTTATAGATTTTACTTGAAGCCACACGGCGAGACATACATACATGTACACATAAAGGAGATGTCTTTGCCCTCTTGCCCCACAATCATCCGCACCACATGCGTGCTAACAAAGCAGTCAGGGAACGCTGTTGTCACCTCAAGCCCGCGGCCGAGCGACGCCCAGTTTGTGCAATGTGTACACGGCAATGAAAAAGCACAGCATCCGCATCATTGCCGGGATGCCGGAAGGCTACCCCGCAAAACAGCCGTGTCGTAGCGTGTCGCCCCCTCATCAAGGCCCCTTCCTGGATCCAGGATCCCGAACCAACGGAAACAACCCACGCCTGATCCAACGAAACCAACCGACAACCAACCAACAGGAAAGTTTCACGTTATGGATGAGGTGGCGATTGAGTGGTCGCGGTTGGGCGCATGGTTTTCGGTTCGGCGGCTCGGATGTGGGACTTAAAAAGGCCACGGGCAGCAGCTTCTGTAAGTCATGTCCCACCTCGTCCTCTGCCGCAACCACCCCCCCGCCAACATTTTTTGCCTTCACAACCGAAAACACCACCCAGTACCAACGGTCAGCTCCCCGGATCCGGGTGGCGCGGAGCAATGTCGCAACCCTACCGGCCTTTGCTGGGATCCCCCTTGTATGCTTGCGCCTCTGCACACTCCATTGCACCAAACCTCGCTCACCTCACTCCCTGCATGCATGCCGCCGTGTATGTATGTATGTATATATGTATGTACTTATGTGCGTATTACATATGCAGACATGTCAGAGTGCGGCACAACACAGCTCAGACCAGTAATTCCCAAAGTATGCATGCAAAAAACACGTAACTCGGCGGTGCATAAAGCATTTATGTACAGAACTGTGGCTTACCAGCAGGTCTCGCAAACAGGGCCGCACCTTGATTTCAGCGCACACACAGCACACACGCACGCACGTACGTACATCTGCACCCGCAGGCAGGAGGAGTGAGTGTACAACATCGCGCCATTTTTTATTCTACCCTCGACCGCCCCACACACAAGGCACTACCAATGCTGTTCACACTTCGACCCAGCTAAGGACCTCGCCTTGCAGAGGTCCTACCGATATCAGCACTACCGATATCAGCAACATGTGCACCAACATTTAAACTTACGGGCAAATACACAATGAAGAGATTACAGGGAGTACGACACAAGAGGATAACACGCCCAGCGTGAGGCTGGTGGCGCGGGGGAGGGGGGGGGGAAGAAGCAACATGGCCGCGTGGCTGCGGACTCTAGGCCACCCTCCCCCCCCCAGCAGCCTCAAAAGCAGGTTAGTATCCCCCTTATCAGCAGTAATCCACAACAGGGGCAACAAGCAACATAAATCCCCGCATTAACCTGCGCCGTACACTGCCGTACACCTCGTTCCCATATCACCAACTTCTGCACCTCCGGCGGATGGCCCCCCAAATGTCTGCCACCAGTTTTGATCCATCGCCCGAGCACAATCCTTTTTTTACATGTGAATATGATTCAGGAAAACGAAACCGGCTGGTTCAAAAGACAAAATCCTAGAGCACGAGGTACGGCAGGAACAACGAACCAACCAACCCGGATTGGGAGGTCTAGCCCTAAAGCGTGTATTGAGCTATGTGCAGGTTGCCCGGTTGCCCGGCCGTACAATCCGTTCCGTACAATCCGTTCCGTACAATCTCCCTCGTGCCACCGCCTCACAATAACGTACAAGAAATCCCCCACATTTCCAATCCTCAAGGTAGGAATGTAGGTAGGAAAAGTCTTAAAAGCTTTTGACCACTTTCGTATTGGCATGGTAACATAATGACGTGGCAACACACCGACAAACCCTGAATGCTGACTACATGCTCTATAGCCGGAGACTGCTGCGACCGCTGGTTTCGACGGCGTGCGCAGCTTACTTGCTTCACACACTGGCCATACATACATACATATGGACTCGCTCTAGCGGGACCTGAGAGCCCTTCGTTGTGTTTTCACTGCAGCGCCATCCCCGGATGGAGGGGCAGCGGAGTGGCTGCGTAGAGTGTTGGCAGTCTGAGTCAGGTCGGGAGCACACAAGACTAACCGACGTGTGCTGTGTGCTCCCGACCCTTGCGCTGTGTTTCGGCTTCGGCCCCCGGCTCTCGCGGCCCACAGTGTAATCTAAGTCATACATACATACATACATACATACATACATACATACATACATACATACATACATACATACATAAGTACACAAAAAAGGTGCTAAGAAGAGCTGGCCGTCGCACATTCTGCCTGCCGCCATCGCCACTTCCAACTATGCGGTACCTGCTAACTGCCCAACACCTTACATACATACATGTACACACCTTGGCGGTGCTTGAAGGACTACTAGAGCCATTACAAGTTGTGTAAAGGCTCACAGACCATCTTTCACCCCCCCGGAATCATGTACGGCAAAGACCCATAACAGACGTGCACGCATATGTGCACGCTCACATGTACACACGTATGCACTGACGCACACACACGCACACGCGCGCCTCGGAAGATATTACCCTGGCACTATTGAGAGATGACCCTCACATTCACATGCATGTACGTATGCATGACATACATATATACACACGTACCGTACGGCACCCCGTACAGCAAATTTACATGCACAGATTCCCGTGCCTTCCCATCAGGTAACGCCTCCTCGCTCACTTTATTGCCCGTTTTCTTACCAACTGCCACACCAACTGCCACGCTAACCACCATCCCGAGGTTGTGACCTCGGGATGGTTGCTGTCCTCCAAAATTAATATTCAATACCATTCCTGGGCCACCGAACCCTTTGCAGCAATGGAGCCCATGAACCACCAACCGTCAACTAACCGGTTTATGCTAAAATGCTAATTTGGGGTCCATCGCGCTGGTCGCTACGTCGGTCTCCATGTGTCGTACAAATCGCGGCGTCTTGTTCTCTCATATGCCTTTCCTTTCTTCTTCCTCCTCCGCCTGCCCTCGTCGCAATTGCTGCTGCACCTGCAACTGCTGCAACGGCTTTTAACCGCTTGAACTGCTGCTGAAACCGCCAGTGCAACTGCTGCAACTGCTGCAACTGTCGCTGATGCTGCTATTGCTGTATGCTACTACATGCTATCACGTCGTGCAGCCATCTGTCCGTACCATAACGTCATCCGTCCGTACCATCTAGCGCCCATGTCCCACTGTCTCAACCACATCAGCCACCAAACCCACCACACGATCAAACCACACGACGCGGCGGCATCTGCGGCGTCAGCTGCGGCCGCGTCAACGGCGATGTCAACGCCGGCATCCGCGGCGTCAGCAGCAGTGGCGGCGGCGTGAGCCCTCGACCTTATGGGGCCCTATGCAAATCACGCGATGGTGGCCGTCAGCGGCGCCGGGGCTACAAACCCTGAAATGGTCGCGCGGCAAAACGGACAGTGCGAAGGCTTTTGAATATTCAAGCAGCAAAGGCGACGCGCGCAAGGCCCACAAATTTGATGGCGGCAAGGGAAAATCGCAACCATCGGCAGAGCCTCCATGCAGACACCGCACTCCAAGTCCTCGTCATCGACGGCGGACAACGCGGCGGCGGCGGCGGCGACAGCGGCGGCGGCAGTGGTTGGCCGTACGCGCGGCATCCGTACGTCCGTCGCTGCCGGGGTGCCACCGTCAGCAGACCTTGCCGCAGCAGCAGAGCCTCCCGTGCCGCCGCCGCCGCCGCTACTGCTACTGCCGCCGCTGCCGTCGTCGCCGCCACCAACACATTCATTGGGATTCGTTGAGAAAGGGGTAACGGAGACGCGGGTGACCGCAACACCGCTCGGGCCAGCCGTCGAAGTGCCCTGCTCGTCGTCTTCAGAGGTAACCTCCGCCAGTGATGGCATGCTGCCTGCCGTCGCCGCCGCCGCCGCCGAGGCACCACTGCCGCTGCCAGCAATCGCAAGCGATGGCAGCGGCGGCGGCGGCGGCGCCGCAGCAGCAGCAGCATCCGCATTATGAACATCTTCGAACAGTGGATTGCTTCTCATCCGGATAAGCGCTCTGTGGCGCTCGCCGTCATCGCCGCGTGCTGTCGTACCGAACAAGCCGCCGCCAAGTGAGATAGTCGACCCCACGGAAATTGATGTCGTGAGGGACGATGTTGTTGGTCGCGTCGATGGTCGCGTCGCAGCAGCAGACATGCCGCCGCTGCTGCCACCGCTCGCCGTCCCGTGCGTCATGGCAACGCTTGCAAACGGCAGCGCCGCCGTCGCCGCCGCTGATGTGTACGACACCGCTCCGTTGGGGGAACTGGGCAGTCTAGCACTTCGCGCGTGTAAGGGGCTGGCGGAAGGCTGTCGCGCCGGGGTCCGCGGGCCGTACAACGCCGCGGCAGTGCCGCTGTCCGCCGCGTCGCCACTGGTAGCAGCCGCCGACACTTCAGCCGCCACCAGGCCGCCGCTGGAGCCTTCTACCGGCGACGCTGCCGCCACCGCCGCCGCCGGCTCGCCGCCTGTCCGTACGACAGGCGCAACTCGCAGCGTCTGCATCTCTGGAACGTCTGGCTGGCCTGGTAAACTCAGCAGGACCTGTGCGCGCGATGCGTCGGTCGGTTGACCGTTAGCCCGAGTCGCGCTGGGTGGGCGCGACAGCGCCGCCACCAACGGCGCCGCCGCTGCCGACGTCACAGTTGCCGTACTAGCCGAGCGGTTGCTGGCTGTCGATGTAGGCAACGTTGGTGGCGTGGACCGGCGCGCGGAGGAAACCCGGGAGAGCAGCTGTGGCTGTGGCTGTTGGGGTGATGCTGACGGCGCCGATGTGACGGCGGCGGCGGCGGCGGCAGAGGACGGTGACAGCGGTATCGTCGATATGGGCGAGACGAGGCGCGGCGAGACGGCGGATGGAGATAGGAGCTGCGGCTCGGCCGGGGCGCCGACAGGCGGCGTCCGCGGCGCCGATGACGGCGATGAGCCAGCTGACTGCAGGAGCAACGGCGGCGGCGATGGCGGCGGCGGCGGCTCCAGAACCATAGGCCGCCTCGTCACTGCTGACGGCCTCCCATCGTGTTCCACTGTACCGCCCGCTACCGCAATCTCTAGATTTAGCTGCCTCGTCGGTCCGCCGACACGCCGCCCTGTCGAGGCCATCAAGGAAGCGGTATTTGTGGGTCTGCCCGGGGACGTCCGCATTGCGTCTGAAACTCCGCTCGTCGTACCGATTGCACGAGGAAGTCCTTCAGCGGCGGCGGCGGCGGCGCGTGCCGCCTCTTCCGTCTCCATAGCTTCCGCCTCCGCCAGCTCCTCCAACGATGCCGGAGCGGACACAGGCCGCGGCGCGGCGTTGCCTTCGCCTTCGCCTCCGCCGCCGCCAGTGGCTACGATGGAATCCTGTGCCGCAGGCGGCGGCGGCGCCGGCGGCGGCTGCTTCCGTACTGCCCGCGCAGCCGCCGCCGCCAAGGCGTCCAACTCCCCTAGCAGCTTCTTATTCAACGCCTCCGCTGCTATGGCACGCAACGACACCGGACCATAGAATCGTACGGCTCTTTCCTCGTCACTGAAAAGCCGCAGAATGGGGATTGAGGGACGCAACAGCATCGCTAACGGGTAGAATCCCAACCGCTGCGCGACTTGGTACGGCATGTGACCGTTTGCGTTGACTTGGACCCGTGGGTCAAGGGAGGCCAGGCTTGGCGGCTGCGGGTCGTCCTCGGAGAGCTGAAGCGGCTCCAGGACACGCTCAGCCTGCTCGTGATGCATGGCGGTTAGTGGGTTGAGGCAGTTGGCGGTTGAGAGGCAGTTAGTTGGACGGTTAGGAGTCGGTGATATAGAGGACACCTAGGAGGACGCAAAGCAAGAGGATGAATTGGAACTCAAACTGGATTTATTTACGGGGGCTAACAAATAAATAAACTGTTAAATAAAGTAAAAATAAAAAATCTATAAAATAATCCTTAAAATAAATACATAAACAACGTTCCAGGGTTTCATTGGCCGGGAAGCCGAAAAGCGATATAAACTTAGTCCTCTTAACGTTTTAAAACATCTCTCCGTACAATAGACAATCCAAAAGCATGCGCACTCCCTCTCGTACAGCCCTCCCCCTTCCCCCCCAAAAAAACACTCACAAACGTCTTCAGAATGATGCGGCAAATCTCGACGTGGCCCCGCGCCGCCGCCAGATGCAGCGGCGTTGAACCCACCACCATCACCGGCGGCGTGAGCTCCTGAGCAGGCCGGCAGTTGCGCGGCAGCACATCGGCACCGTGCTGCAGCAACACCTGCACACTACCGGACTGGCGACCCCACACCGCGTAGTGAAGTGCCGTACACCCGGCGTGGTTGCGTGCGTCTAGATAGCTGAGGTCAGGTTAGGGGGGTGGGGATAGGGGGGGGGCGGAGCGGTGGCGGCAGCGGCAGCGGCGGGGAAAGGAATGAGGAGACATTCAAAATAAAAATGGCGGGCTGAAGAATGTCAAATAAGTATTTCAAGGAAGTTTATATTTCCCATCCCTTTACGCGGCTCGCGACCTGAGGTAATACCGTTGCGACAATGGTGTTTGCTTTCAAATGTTTGAATTAATCTCGGCTTTTGGACTTGAAAAAGATATATAAAGAGTCCAGAGACGGAAAAGGGAGGGTGAGGAAAGCTTAGAAAGGACTTTATTTAACTCTTTTAAGGGGAACCGGTTCGGGCCGGGAATCGGAGGGATGTTTTTGTGCAGCTGCTGCATTTGTAAGTGAGGTTCTAGGGTTTGGAGTTGTCGGCGGGAAGGTATTTCTTGACTTTATCACCAACACCCCGCATCACCAACACCATCACCATTTGCATTCCTGTCTTCATCCCAACCCCCATCATGTGCATGTGCACGCGAGCGTGTAAGTGTGTATATGTGTGTGCATTCCCCTCTCCCTCTACCCGACAAACCCCCCCTCCCCCTCCCATTCCTCCCGCCCCCTCCCACACACACCCTTTCAGCTCCTCCTCCTCCCCCTCCTGGAGCTGACCGGGCTCCAAAAACTCGTCCAACAACATGAACAGCACCCCCAGGTGACCTGAAACACAGCAGTAGCAGTAGCAGTAGCATTAACATCAGCAGGACGAACAGAAGAAGTAGCAGCACTTAGGAGCCGGCACTAGGAGCACCGTTAGCAGTAGCAGTAACAGATGGCAGCAGCAGTAGCAAAAACCCAACGATCAAACCGATACAAATTTAGCCATGCGTCTGAACAAAATGAGCTTTTTATTGTCGAAGTAATGAACCTTTCAAATGACCTTCTTTAAGGACAGCACCCACTACCCCCCCCCCCTCACTGCTGCCGCCACCCCCACTACCCCTGCCCCGATAACACCCCACACTACCTCTCAGCGCCGCGTAGTGCAGCGGTGTATTCCCCCGGGCATCTGCCAGTGTGCGGGCGGATCCGTTGGCCAGCAGCAGCCGACAACAGTCCACGTGACCGGAGCGACACGCGAGCGACAGCGCCGTGGTACCCTCCGTGTCCTGAGGGCCAGTGTGGGGGGGGAGGGGAAAGACGAACCACACGCGATTGAAGCTGCTGCCAGGGCAAGAGTGTACCAGACGTAGAAGGAAGGAGGGGGGGAGAAAAGTCCCCCTGGGAGGGGGGAATACGGACCACGTGAAGGAATGGAGCTGATGCCAAGGAGGGTAGACTAGGTGCGCCACAGGTACCGTATGATCCAGAAAAGGGAGAAGCGGCACGGGCTGGCGGGTCCGCGGGCGAGCGACCAGCCGAGTGAACGCCACAGGCGGTGATGATATCATGTTTCCCGCCATGTGAAAGCACGTGACGGACCAGCTGCCGCCTATCTATCCCAGCCACCCGTATCCGCTCATCCCACCACCCGTACTTGCCCTCCGCTACCTACGCCGTTCGTTACCTGCCCAACACGATGATGTACGACATGTCATGGCACGGCACAGTACGGCACAAAATGAAACGAACGACGGAAACACCTGACACATAAAATTCGGCAAGCTAGCGTGCGCCGCTGCCCTGGGCCTTATCGCTTCTCTTTTCGTACGACAGCAAGATGACACGGTTAAGGTACCCTAGAGACCAACAACTAACCAAAATTTCCCAACTAACTGTCGTTAAACTGACCTGCATATTCAAATGAAACTGAATGTACTGCTCCGGCGCAAGAGGCGCGCCATGGGCTCCGGGGCGAGCGACCGGAAAGTCCTGCGTCAAATTGCGGCCTCCCATTCCGCTGCTATCGCTACCGCTACCGCTAGCCCGCCGGTGCTGCTGCTGCTGCGGCTGGCGGCCTGACAGCCCCGGCTCGGAGAACCCCATAACCCGGGAACTTTCGAACTCCCCGGGCATGCCGTACGAATCCTCGCCGCCGCCGCCGCCGCCGCCGCCGCCGCCGCCACCGGCGGCGGCGGCGGATGCGCCTACCGCCTCCTCTTCCTCTGGCCCCGACTCCGGCGGCGACAGTAGCGCCGCTGTAGCTGCACAGCACAGGTTTTCAATGATGGAGGAGAGGACATGAAGTTGGCCTCGTTCCGCGGCCACATGAAGGGGTGTTCGGCGGGAAGCGCCGTCACGGTCCGATTTGGCGAGGCCGGTGAGCTGCGTGGTGGTGGCCGCCGCCGCAGCGGAGGCGGCGCCGCCAGCGGCGTTACGGCCGCCACCGCTACCTTGCGCGTCGCCATCGATTGGTGGCAATGTCTTGGCGAGCAATGCAAGCAATGAAATGAGGGAAGGGGGAAGGGGCCAGGACAGGGAAGTGGGGCGGAAGAGACTTGAATATTAGTTCAGAATCGAAAATGGGAGGAAAAAATGAGACCAATGAGCCCGTTTTTTGCCAATAAGTGCTAAATGCTATGTGCCATGTGCTTGGACAGAACAACCGTTGCTGTTGCCCCTTATGTCCCTACCTGCGGCGCGGCGGAGGTGGTGCTGGTAAGGTTGTTAGAGATGGGTGCCGCCGCAGCCGTTCCGGCGCCAGGAGCTATGCGCCAATCGGTTTCGGAGCCCGGCGGCCCAGCAGAGGCAGAACCCCTGCCCCCGGGCTGGGGCGAAGCCACCGTCGATGTGTTATGGCTTGTGGACCGACCGCCGCGGCCTTGGTTCCGATCACTATAGTAGTGATGGTGGTGGTGGCGTTCCCCGTTGTTTTGATGTTGGGTCTGGTTGGATGGCTCTCCAACACCCAATGACGTTGTGGATGACGACCGCTTAAAAGCCTGGCCAAAGCATCCCAAGATTCCACAAACCTGCAGAAATGGTCGACAGAGAAGCAACGTGTTGACATTTAGCACCCACACTTGTGCAGAACCCCGCAAGCCATGGTAATGCCGGAGCAGTTGGGCCAACACCCAGCATGTGGCATTTGCTTTGCGACAAGGGAATTGGGGAGCTTACACATTCGAGTGGAAATAAAAGATGCAGGGAAGGTTGAGGATTCCCGGTGAGCTTGCGAAACGGGGCAAGACAATAGCTCACTCTGGAGGGTTTTCAAACAGACACAGTGTGCATGACAAGAGCTGCAACTATTGAATACAGGTTCAAGCAAAAAAATCGCGAGCACAGGTCCATACGTACCAAAATCATTGCCGCGTTTCCGTGTTATCAACCACGTCCGGCAATATTTCCTAAAATGTTGTATGATTTGGCAGTAGTCGGCGAGGCTTGAGTCGCACAAACGTCATTCTACACCAGCGCTGAGGTGGATGCCCACCTGTAACTTCATTTTCTAATCGTAATATAAAATTCTTGTAGAATGGAATTTAGCTTCGCAGCGGCGCATCAACCAAGGATTTTGGAAGAAGTCTGTAACACTGCGATGCATGATGTACTGCAAACCGAGGTCCATAAAGGCTGAAGGTGCCCAAAGCTCTCTTGTCAAATGATGATTTGTGCACCTCGGATATTATTGGGAACACATTACTATCGTCTTTCATTTTCCTAGTCTCCTTCTCGCTAGGTTACCGGAAACGGAAGCTGTTATACATTATTGCACCCCCAAGCCTTTTATGATAATTAATTTGTAGGTGTAGTATTTTTGTAACGAATCAATGGGCGACGAACGTCCCTCGGACGCTCTCCAACCGGCCGCAAAGAAGAGGGCGGGAGGCGCCAGGGATCGCGACGATGCGGACGATGACTTACCGGTGCGAAGTAGAAGTTTGCACTTGTATAAAGTCCGACAGAGTTCATCTCGGAGCAACGTTTTTTCCAACCTGTATATGAGATCTGCGGCGGGCTTTTGTGTTTTGCTGAACGGACAATATGGAAGTCGCGTTGCGTATGCCTTTCTTGAAGAGAATTCAGGAAGGGGTTTTCGCACGATGGTCGGATTGTTTGCAGCGATGGCCATCTATTACAGTTTACTCTCCTGCGCGATTAACGTATGCTCCATGCCGTGTTCCTGCGGAGCTATAATATTTCCTTTCCCATTGTTCACATTTGCTTGCCAGAGCGTTGATCCGGGAACTTGGAGCGCTGACGCCAATGCTACAAGGGAGCGGCGGAAAGTGCACGTCCGGCGTGGCGCCGGGGCTGCATCTGGGGAGCCGGCGGCGACCGCCAACCCGTTTGCTGGAATAGCGCTATCATTTGCACAACCTCCTGGCGCAGCGGCCAGTGCCGCCGCTCCTCCCGCAGCGGCCGGCGGCGACGATAAACCTGCTGCTGAGGCGACGGCTACGGTGGCAAAGGCGGAGAATGGCGAGGTGCGGTGCGGGTTTGCGTCGAACCCCTGTACATCGACACCTTGATGGGTTGATGGCACCAGGGCACCGAGCGACCTTCAGAACTGCCACACAAGGACCCCTTTCCCGCTGTGAGCGCATGTAGATGGGTGTGAAGTCCATCCATCAAGTCTTTCTCTTAACTGAAGCAAGAGTTTATGCGTATATGCCTATCATAACCGAATGTAGCCACAAGGGAGCCACCATGCACGACATTCCTATGAAGGCGGGTAAATCAAAGCGGGGGATGGCCTACTCGCAACCGCGCAATGAGTCTTGGATAGATGGTTGAAACAGATATAGCAGATGTCGAACGGCCCTCACCCAACGTAACTGCCTCTGTTGGCATGGCTAAACGCCGTCTTCAGCCTTCAGACGTTTCATGTAGACTGTCTTTCGATGTCTTTTGGTTTCGAAATCCGACTTGCGTGTGAAGGCAATGAATGGCTTTTGCATTCACGTTTGGCGGCTGCGCTGCTCCCATCCAATGCAATCTTGCAATGTGTCCGAAGAGGACGTTGCCTGTACCGGTAGCGGCGAAGGGCGACGAGATGGATGCACGACCACGATGCCACACACAACACACACACAAAGACGATGTTTCGCTATCTCCACACACACGCGCGCGCACGCACAATCACAGCGAATCATCTGTGTATATGTATGTATGTATGTATGTGTCTCTCTGTTTATAAAGAAAGGTGAGCGGCAGGTGAATGTATGTGTGTACCTGCTAAGTGGTATCACAGGCGGGATAGGGGGACAAGACAACCCGCGATGATGCTATGGCGCATCCTTACTAGACATGCGACATACGGACCAGTTGCGTGACTCCCTTGTGTGCAAGTGTTGGGAGCTTGACAAGCCGCGCATGCGTGTAACGGTCTCCAGGCAGATGAAGCGAACAAGACGGAGGAGGTCGAGGCTGAGGAGCAGAAGCCACAGCAGGGGGAAGCGGCGGCGGCTGCAGCGGCAAAAGAGGACAAGGCCGACACGGCGAACGCTTCCAAAGCCGAGGTGAGTGGTGGAAGGTGATGTCGCATGTAGCTTCACTTTGACCTCGCTTGGCTGCCGTACGAGTGTGACAAGGTCATGTGCAGCAGCGGCCTGCAGCGTGGGTATCAGAGCATTGTTGAAAAATGGAACACCTGTCATCGTCGCATATGAACATCGAAACAGCGATCGCATGTGACCGCAGCGACCACCGTGTGTTTGTGCGCCGCCGCCGGGAATGCAACTTCTCGTCTTCCGCTTGTAAGTGCATGCGCACCCTGTGATGCATTCCCACTGAACAAAACCAGGAGGACAAGGCAGGTGCCGCTGCTACATCCCCCTCCCCAGCCAGTTCTGGCGCCGCTCCGGCTGCTGCTACGGCCGCGACTCCCGCCGCGAGCATATTCGGCGGCAGCGCCGGCACCACACCGGGCTTTGCATCTCTTGCCGCCGGTGGGGCCTCCGGGGGCAGTTTCAACTTTGGTTTCGGCGGCGGCGGCGGCGCAGCCGCCGCCGCACCGGGAAACGCAACCAGTGGCATTTTTGGCAGCAATACCACTGCCGGCAGCATCTTTGGCGGAGCAGGCCTGGGCGGAAATGGCCTCTTTGGATCGAATCCTGGCGCGGGCAGTTTTGGAGGCGGGTTTAGTTTTCCCAAGCTGGACGCTGCAGGCGGCGGAGCGCTGGGCAAGCCGTTGTTTGGTGTGGCGGGTGCCTCCGCCGGCGGCGGCGCTGAAGAGGGCGGTGAGGGTGAGGAGCGTCCGGAGGCGTTCGAGCCCTCGGAGGACCCGTCCATCAAGCCGGTGGTGCAGCTGGCGGTGGTACAGAAGGTCACGGGCGAAGAGAACGAACAGACTATCTACGCAGGTACGCGTGTGAGCACGACGATCACGGGCCGCGGCTGCTATGGACTCTGCCCAACATGTGCTGAGCATCGGGCGGTATGGGCGGTGGTGGCAAGTGGTAGGTAGGCTTAGGGTTGATTCCCGCCTTTCTTTCGCTCCGGTTACCGCTTCCGGAGCTGGCTGTTGCCTCTTGGGTCGGGTTTCGTGACGGTGCGAGGCCTCCGTGTGGGGGTGGGTCAGGTAGTGAGGAGGGCTGCGGTGGTTCATGACATCGTTTTGGTGTGCTAAGAACTTGTAGAGAGCTTGGCCAACAGTTTTGTGTGATGTGATTTGTGATGAGGGAGTTGCTTCCTGCTGGCTGATGGTGGACAGCGCGTTTTATGGATGTGCGTGTGATGGCTGATGGCTGGTGGTGCTGCTTGGTGGTGGTGCTGCTGACGACGCAGAGTCGGGCAAGCTGTTTGAGTACGACGCCGCAGCTTCCAAGTGGCGGCAGCGGGGCAGCGGGGAGCTGCGTGTCAACGTGTCGGCGGACGGCACGACGAGTCGCGTCGTGATGCGTCAGGTATGAATGGGAAAGTCGGAAGGCGGGATCCGGGATCCTAGGGTTTCGCTACTGGGAAAGCGTATGTATATATGTATATACAAATTGCTTCTAGCTGATACCCAATTTTGCTAACTGGGAAACGCCTGTCTTCCTATACTAAAGCGCTCGGGTAGCTCAGTAAAGCTCTAAACTTCTTTTTCGATATTTTATGTATGTGGTTGTTTGTTACACCTCGATTGCGTTAATCATCCGGAGAGATGGAACGAGTTCCCATACGAGCCAGTATTGAACCCCCACCCCACCCCTCCACCTTTTTTTCTCCCGCCCTCCCAAACCCTCCACACAAAAGGTATAACGAGTACCCTTATGTGTTTTATCTTGCTGTTCGTGCCCGCAGTCGGGCAACCTTCGTTTGCTTCTCAACGCTCGAGTCACCGTGAGCATGCCAGTCCAGGTGCGTCGTCATGCCTCTAATGCCCATCATAACGATCCTCATGCGCGGGAGGGGCAGGAGGTGGCTTGGGCGTCTAGGAAAATATATGATGAGCTTGCGGGTCATATGGGCCATAAGGAGGTCTAGGTAAAATCGCCAGGAGTTTTAGCAGCAGGAGCTGTGAATGCCTCCAGGCCATGTGAGGGATGTGATTTGAGAAATGTGTGGCAATGGGTCGCTGTGCAAGACCAAGGTAGACGGTGTGCTGTGCTGTTGCATAGAGCAAAGCAATGCGGTACTTGAGGTAGGATCGCGGCCTGCAGCAGCAGCAGCAGCAGCCGGAGGAAGGTGGCCTGTTCCGAAGGCCACCCCCTTATGGGGCAACTTCCAACCCCAAGGGCACTATCTTGCCGATTGTGGTATCGCCACCTGTTGTGGCTACGTCGACGAACTGTGAGCCCTGCAGCGCGGACATGTTCCCACATCACATTACATCACATCGCTGAGATCTGTCCACTTCGTGTTCGTGTCGTTTGCTTCGGCCGGCGACAGCTCTGTCTCGTTACATTCTTTTCCTAATTTCCTGATTTCTTACTTGTACATGTCCCTAGATCTAATCCCGACAGCCCTGTAAATGTAAATGGTGTAGACTTCGCATTCCAGCACTGGCTTGCATCACACCCCACAAAACTGAAACACGCGCACACATACACATACGTACACATTCCGTAAACGGATAGCGTGCTATCCCCTCCGCAGAGGATGCAAGGTGCGAACGGCGTCACGTTTGGCTGCGTCAACACTGCCGCCCCTCCAGAACCCAACAACCAGCAGCAGCAGGCGGCAGCTGCGGATGCCAAGTCCGACGACAAGGACGCTGCGGCCGGCAGCAGCAAGGTGGCAGCTGCGGCTGGGTCGAGTCTCGTCAAGACTTGGGCATTCAGCACTAAGGGCGAGGACAAGATGCTGGGACTTATGGCGGCGCTGGAGAAGGCCAAGTTGGATCACAGCAAGCATCAGGTAACACCGTATATGGTAATATGAGAGGTTGAGGAGTTTTGAGGGGATGAGGTTGACCAAAGGGTGCATTAGCGCTACTTGCTACTCTATTGAAAAGGTAGATGTCGGTGGTCTTTCATGTTACAATTTAACTTTGTTTTGGGCACGTGTGGCGGGATCCACTTGGGACAAGGCCCCTGTACCGATCTTGGGGTTTCCTTAAGTGCCACAGTAACCGGCTGGCTGGTGTATGGCTTGGCCTGCTACCCGAGTAATCCGCCTCCCCAGCCGTGTGCGTTGGCAGTGCCATAACGTCATGATGCCCCACTTTTATGGTATCGAGTTCTCCTCTCCTGATGGGCTTCACGGCTGTTACTGTTGCTGTTATTGCGGCTGCATGGCGTCTCCCTCATTCGACTATTTTGCAGGAGGAGAAGAAGGACGCGGCTGACGAGGTTTAAAGTTTGGGAGTATCCTCTACAAACGGGCCTTGGATGGTTGGCGAGGAAGTTCAATCTATGAAGATGATGTTCCTCCAACTTGAGATTCACAACTACACGCAACGTTTCAACCAAGATCCAGGTCTCTCACACAAGGCTAATCAGCCCTTGTCGTAATTGCCTCCTCGAAACCGTCGCTGAATGCGGCATTGAAAATATTGGCCTCGTACATACGGCATCGTTGGGGATGCTAGAGATGTGCGCATTGAGGGATCACACAGGAATCGTGGGATCGTTGGGGCTTGTTGGGAGAGATGTCCCACGGTCAATGTCAAAAGTGTGGGTGCACAGTTGCTAGTCGGAGAAATGCACTGATTGCCTCCGTCCTGTAAGATTTGCCACCCTGTGTACTGCACAGAAACGAATTCGTGCGTTGCTAACCAGCCAGCCAGGCAGCGGACGGCTTACGTGCTGTTTTCAACACTTTCTGCGGCGGACTTTGCGTTGGTTTCTTAGGATTGCATTGTTTTTTTAGATTTCTCCTTCCCCCTGTATCGCATCCCATGTTCACAGGAAATTAAACTGTTTGATCTCTTCCTTCTATTCCAACCGAAACGGAAACAAATCATCAATTCGGCGGCGTCGGTTGGCGGTTTGGGCATATGATGTCATGGCGCCTACGGGGAACGCATGGAATGCATGTTACAAGCCTCTCATCAGTAATGATAACGATGTCTTGGCAACGGACTGCTCCAATGCACTGTCTGAAGAAAAAGACGCAGGGGCGTAGCAGGTGTATCCTTGGACAAATAATCTGTAAACACTTCGGCACACATCAGGTTCCAATATTTTCTCGACAAGAGTGCATGGGGAAAGACGTGGGGAAAGAAGACATGGGGAAAGAAGACTACGATTGTTAGATTGGGACCGGGGCTGCTTCAGTGTTCCTAGCCTGGCAGTCCCTACCTTCCCTGATGTTTCGGAGCAACCTCACCCAAGACGATATCGGCGAAGTCAGCAGCTTATACGTGTTCAGCACAAACCACCAGCATCTATTGGAATCTGGCGGACCAACGGCGGCGTCAATCCTACTCCTGGTCGGCTCTCAGGTCCATTCCTTACGGAGGCGATCCACCTGTATTCAACCTCTAACGGTCGAAGGATCGTATCCCGCTCTATGCCGGCATTGATTCTGGAAGCTTTCAGGGATGCCCGCGCCTACTATGCCCGCGCCCTGGACTATTCGCTAGATTGTATTTCCGTAAGAATACGAAGTATTGTTCACATGAGAATTTACACAGTGTGGGCCGGAAACTCGACCGCACAAAACTAATGCGCTCGCACAAAGTCATTGCCGTACTCGTATGTTTCAAGTTTAGGGGGATAGGGACTTTGTTTGCTTTAATTCAGGTTTCTCACATACGGGTGGACGCAAGGTCCTTGATTTGTTTTGTACCAAGCTTCGCGAATCGCGCCATGTCCAACCTCGTAAATAACCTGCAAAATCGGATAAGAGCGTTGGAAGCCGAATTGCAGGGCCCGACAGCTGCTGCACTATCGGCAGAAGAAAGGGTCATTTTGAACCATTGTACATCAACACAGGCAGCAGCCTCTCGCACGCGTGTGGAGGCAATCGCAGCCTTGGGGTCACCGGACGAAGCATCTCGGCAGAAGTATGAGAGGATTGTCAACGACATCGATAGGAATTACACAGCAGCGATCACAGCTCTGGACCTCAGCCATCCAGGCTGGGAGGTCCTCCTCTTGGCCCGTTGGAAGCGACGGTCGCAAGTAATGCAGGAGATTGGTCGGTTGCAGGAGGAGCTACTTCGCGAGCAGACCACAGCCATCTTGGCAACTGCTCGTAACGTTACTGCGATCGAGGCGGCTCCGGCGCATCACCAAGACGCGGCTTTGGGCGGTGCCGTAGGTGAGAACATGGGTCAGCATTCGGGGGTCATAGTTCAGGGTCAGCAGCAGCCTCTGGGTCTTCAACATTAGCGCAAAAATAAGTTCTCGCAGGCCTGCAGGAGGGGGGCGTTCCTAATTTGGCAGATCCGGCACAATTGGTGGCGGCATTACAGGCAGATCTCGCGTTTTCCCCCAGCCCAGCGTGTGCGTCAGTGGCGTTTTAGGGAGCCCATGTAGACCTCCCAACCAGCACACCTCGATACATCTCTTGGTCAGCGTGAGGGTCTTGGGTCGCTCAAGCCAACACAACTTGACGATATCATTACCTGCCTCGTCACAGATGACTGAACATTCTCCAATGCGGCACACATATTCCCGTTTGTCAACCAGATATTGCGAGTCTGTGAAATCCAGAGCGCAGCAAGGGACACCAGCAACGCTTGAGCCATTGAGTCGGCCACTCTATCCAGAAGTTGGTAAGAGGCAGTGGAGTAGCTGGATATGCTCAGCTAGGGGAGCTGTTGCCGTTGCGCTTGTCTGGGGTATGCCGACCCTCTTACAATGCACGCGTGTATTGCATATGTTACAGATGATTGCAGTAGCCGGCTCCAGGGCACCAGGGAAACGTCTGTCGTGTGCTCACATTTAGCAACTGGGTCATCTGGACAGAACTACATGTCGCACCCTAGGGGGGCCTCCATACCATCACTGACAAATCAGGTGGCAAAAATCATGAAGCCAGTACTCGGATTTCGTTAATGTTGAAAAGCTCTGAAGAAGCTAAAGGGTCAGGAAACCTTCGGTGCAGGCCAGGAGAATGGGATTGGCAGTCAGGGACCTGCGACCCACCATGCTGGTGCCACATTGCATCGTCACCTGCTGCCCATGTTGCATTTCCCGTATGCATTGAATGTTGTATATCAGCTTCAGCGATTATATCCACGTACATAGCTGTGGGCCGAACTCTTTTGTATATGGGCCCATGACCTTTGCAAAAAGTGCTCATTCCTGTTGGTGAATGTGTGATGTCTTGACACTTCACACGAAATTCCAAATCTGTGCTTTCAGGTGTTCCCTACAAGATGACCACGCGTGACATGAAGTTGCTGCCATGTGAGGCGGTGACCATCACACCTGGCCAGGGAGACAACTCACATCACGAACTAAAGAGGCGCCGGTCGCTAAGGTTGCAGGAGCAGCGGCGGGTGAAACAGCGGTCTGTCCTACCTGGCCCAGACAAGGTCGGCAGCCAAGGCCTGGGCAATGGGAACCACACTAACCTCGTATCCATTAAAGGTAGCAGTAGCACAAGCAGCAGTGGCGGTGGCAACACCAGCAATAGCGATGATGCCGGCAGCAGTGGTGTGCACATTACCAACGTCATCAATGTCCCGCTGGAAGGGAAGGTGCCGGGTGGACTTGAGCAGCTGACCCGCAAGCGCGGCAGCAAGGTGCTGCTGCCCCTAGAACTGTGTGGCTTTGGAGACGTGGGCCTCACCGGCCGGTGTGTTGGATATGGGTGCTATGGCAGCGTGCTGGAGGTACGTGCGGTGGTTAGGGCAACTTAGCATAACATATGTGACAGGCTAGGGGATTGGGTTGTACAGCAAGGTGAATGAGAGCTTGCTGTAGTAGCTGGTACAAAGTATGGCACAAATTTCGTCCACAATACAAACCCTATGGTGCTCCACCAGCATCTTGAGGCATTTTCAGCGGCCAGCAGCTACACTTGCATTCTTCACGGGCTTCATGCATTGCACCAGAAGTAGAGCGTGTGTCATATGCCAGATACTGGTTAGTGCTGACATTTGGTTATCGTGCTTCACATTCCCCTTCTCAAAAGCTCAGACCTTGTTCCGGATGCTGTTGCTGTGCAGGGCACCATAGGTGGCGTGGCGGCAGTGATCAAGCTGTTTGAGCAGAAGCGACGGGGAGCCGTGGAAGCCTTCACACGCGAGCTTGCTGTGTACTTGTGCCTTGGCAGCAGCATCAGTAGCAACAGTAGCAGCAACCTGCAGGGTGCCCCGCTGGTGCCACGGCTGCTGCGGTACGGCATGTTTGCACACACAGGCGCCCTGTTCCTGGCACTGACTGACGAGGGTGACGACCTGGAGGCCGGAGCCAGCCGCAGCACAACCGTCGCTGGTGATGCAGCTGCCAGTGGCAGCAGTGGCCGCAGTTTGCGTGATGCTGGGATTTCACCAAAGCTGCGCACTGCAATGCTGCGAGCACTGAGGGTGCTCCACCGGGCAGGTGTACTGCACGGGGACATCCGCCTGTCCAACTTTGTGATGGGGCGGGATGGGGTTGTCAAGCTGGTTGACCTGGGGAATGCCAGGGTGGTGGGTGGCTTGGAGGCAGGCAGCAGCAGCTACCAGGCGGCGATGGAGGCCGAGGTGCAAGCCGTGCATGCTCTTTAGTCTATGATGTGGCATCCATAAGTGCACACTATTGCACACAACGGTGGGGTCTCTTGTGAATGGAAGGTGCAAGTCGCCAGGGTCATAGTGGCACCCTTAAGTAGGGTAGAGTAGTAGGGGTATACACAGTGATTTTTTTCGTTTAGGACAAGTCTCAATTTATTCCAACCTAAGTAACAAAGTTGCTAGGTTTGTGGTAATTTATTCCTTAAGTGTGTGGCGCTGGGGGGTCCTCCGCCACCCCCAGACCCCCACCCCAATAAGTTACAACTCCCCTTGTAGACCACTGAGTTACCGACAACAGCACCTCCATCCCAAATGCCTTCATCAGGAAACTTTCCAGGCTTATTTTGCTGTTTCGGTGTCTGTATGATGTTCGAGTCATTGCCTTGTGCATGTTTGGCTATGTGAGGGCTGGTCATACATGCTGCTATGCCGTGTTGACTTACGGGCATGACCTTCTTACGGCCCCTCATACCTATTCTTTGATTGCAAATATTAAGTTCTGCATACTATGGAGCAATCTGGCAGCAATGGATGTTTTTGGCTGGAGGAATGAAAATGTATCGGTCGGGTTATTCCTTTTTTCCAAAGGCCTCATAGTGGCCTTTATTCCTTTTAAGTGATATATTACTTAAAAAAAACAACGCTGGGTATACATAGTGTTACAGAGCTGGGTGGTGTGTGACTCTGCTGCCAACCAGCCCTGGCGGGTGAGGTTGGCTAGGGTTATGTGCAGAGGCAGGCGGCACCTGCACTCTGGGAACCCGCTTCCCTTCGATTCCCGGGATTCCCTTCACTCGGCGTTCGTTATGTGCTCATTTCGTGCTCATTTCGGAATGAAGCACTGAGGGGCCTTCAGAACATATCGAAGGAGTTCGGCTGAAATGGTCACTTTGCATGCAAAAGCCGTCTAATATCGCCATGCCAGGGATTGTTTTAATTACTTATGACTGTATGCATATTCCACCGTGAGTTATCTTGAATTCTGAGCTCATCCCAAAATGAAGGCCTGAGGGCCCTTCAGAACATATCGAAGTAGTTTGGTTGAAGTGGTCATAATTCACGGATTCCTTTATAGAAGCCTTCTGATATCGTCATACCAGAATTGATTTTAGTGAGAACATGACCAGCTGCAATCTGCTATCACAAGTACTTTACAAACTCTTACACATACAAACACACACACCTACATGCCCACATTTTATTGTGTCCGGACATCACATGAAAAGTCCTTCCCTCCTTACACACATACATATGGGCAGGCGGCTGGCAGAGGTTAAGGCCTAACTTCTGCTCCCGGAGTGTCCGGGTTCAAACCGCCTGCCTACTCCTCGGGTGTTTGAGGAGTGTTAAAATGGGAGATGGCCCTCCATCTTATGGACGGTGTAGGACGTGATAATATCAACTTGCAAGCTGACCAGGAACTAAGTTGAGGCACCGTTGATCCGATAGATTTGGTTGGATGCTGGTGGTGAGTTGCTGAACCCAACAAATACAATTCTGAATTCGGATGGGATGAATGGATTAGGGTGCCCCTCTTGCAGGGGAGAGCAGGGACTGCCTCGGGAATGGGGGCCGCTGGTGAAGCTTAACCACCCTGTAATTGAGATGTATAAATATGTATGTATGTATATCCAAATGAACTCAGTCACGAAGCGTAAGGGTGGTGTGAGTGAGTAAGTGAGAGGTAGACATAGAGGGGGTGGTGGTTAGCTGGATGTGTGTGCGTGTGTGTTACATGGTTGGGGGTGCATGACCCCATACCTGTAAGACTACCCAGACGAGCTGAAGGCCCAAGGGCAATACTACAACACCTAAAAGCCACGGAGGAAAGGATGCTGGATGCAGATGCAGATGGCAGTGCGGCCCCTGGAAAGTGAGGGGGCGAAGCAGTGTTTTTTTTTGCGGAAAATATTCCGAATTCGGAATAAAAAAATGTTCGCGGTCCTGGAAATTCGGAATAAATAATGTTCCGACCGTACAAGTTCATTCCTCCAGCCAAAAATGGACTGTTTATGCCAAAGCCGCTAGAATCTTACAGGAGACAAACATGTTAACCATATTATAGTACTTTAATGCCATGGATACTGTTAGGAAGGTCACACCCGAAAGTCAACGAGGAATCGGACTGTTTCTGACCGGACCAAACGCTGCAAAGTATTCGGACCCGAAGCTCCCAAAACGTGGAAGGCCATAAAAGAAGATATTAAACTTCACTGAAGCCATTAGCGACGGTAATGAAGACGGCCTAGAGGTCGTAGGCATTGTGGACGCAATGCTGCAGCCAGCCGACGACAATGATGCCACTCCGGTTGTCAGCAGCAAGCGGGCCAAACGTCAACGTTTTTCATATGGAGACAGTCGCGATGGGCCAGGAAACACGGGCGTCGAGGTCGATGGCAGCAGCGACCCCGATGCTGCAGCTAAGACTCCTAACCCCACACTCCGCGGTGCAAAGACGCCCCGACCACAGACACAGCGGGTCACGAAGGGCCAGAGCGACGGCGCGTGGCTGGAGAAGAAGGACAAGCATCCCCTTAAGTGGCAGCTGTACTTCGGAGCTATGTTTACATGGGCGCAGTGCATTACGGCGGATGTGAATAAGGGGGAGGTGCATGACATGGTGCGCTGCGGCCCATGCTCCCTGCACAAAGAGCGCGAGTACGTCATTGAGTGCCGGAGGGAGACCCTTGCATTGCATGATACCTCCACCGAGCGGCGGCGGCAGGCAGCCGCGAAGGCTGAGGCACAGCAAAGCAAGCACGCCTACCGTGCACTGCTGGATGACACACCGACCTCACGACTGTGGAAGCGGATCAGCAATGCGCCGGGTCTTGCCGGCGCCTTGACGGAGTTTTCAGCTTTGGCTAAGATGGTGTTCGTGATGGTGCCCGGGTCTGTGGAGGACGAGCGGCGGTTCTCAGCAATGGCATACTTGCAGGACCCAGGCCGCAACCGGCTGGACGAGCACCTGGCACTGTGCGTGCGCATGTTCACGCAAGACCTTTATGACCAGCACACGTTCCCCTTTGAGGCGGCACTGGAGAAGTGGAAGGCCGCCAGCAGCAGGGGCCGGTACATGATGAACCGCTAATTAGCGTGCAGCATCAACAGCAGGGGCCGCAACCAACTGCAGAGGTTGTGTTTGGCGGTTCTGGTTCATTGCTGCTATGCATCATTACTTTTGCAATCTGGAAAGTCGTATAGTGTTATCTTTCAACGTGATGCAAAATGAACGACGGTGAACGAACTCTATTTGATCAGTGCTCGAGTAGGGGCTAACTGATTTGTGTTTGCTTGGGCTCTGCAACAGCAGTCACCCGTGCAGCGTCCAAGTGCGCGCCGCTTCCTGGCGTGCAAGAGACACCTATGGAGAGATTGTGGTGTGCGCGTGTTGCGATATTCCCCAAACCCTGTGTTTGTACGAACTAAACAAAACCTCATGGGGGGGTCTGGGGGGGGTGTAGCCCCCCCCCAGCGCCTTACAGATTCGGAATACTTTTATTCCCACGACTAAAAACCTATTCCTCCGTTCGGAGTGGAAAATTGTCGGGCAAAAATGAAAAAAAACACTGGGGCGAAGTGAAGGGTACTGATTCGATTAAAATCCCTTATTGGGTCAAGGCAGTGGATGACCCCCGGGGTTGAAGGGCTGCCAGGAAAGCCGCCTTCAGTGATTCGGTCACCGACATGAAGAGTAGGAGGAATGGGAGGAAGAAGAGGAAGAAGAAGAACAGCACAGCACGGCAGAGCCGCCTGCCTGGGGTTGAACCGCATTCTTGGCCAAACCCTGTTCCTTGCGGCCTGGAGAGAGAATAAACGGCTGTTCCTACTGTACATTTATTCGTACTCTTACTGTATTATGTCGTACAGTGTCGTACTTACTTCTTGAAGGGCAGCTTGGGGGTCGGGAAAAACGCACAACTAAAGGTGTCCACAACTAAGTCGAATGATGAGTCAGGTAAGGGCAGAGCTGCTACGTCAGCCTGGTGGGCGGGAAGAATGTACGACGTCAGCCGGCGCAGCAGCCCTGGGAACCATGGCGGCAGCGGTGTCCACGGGCGCTGAAGTGCTAGGGGCGGCAGTGCTCGCGTCGACTGACTGGCTGCTTCGGGATACCTGCAGCCCCGAAGCCGTAGGGCCTGGCCCCACGAGCTTGCACTCGGTACATTTCGATGCCTGCTTTAAGGTAAACCTGCTGTCCCATAAGGGCTACATTTCTGGCTACACACAGCTAGGACGGCACCGTTACTTCTTGCCCAACGCATCGATACAGCAGGTGCTTTTGGACGGTCATGCGTCACAGCAGATTGGTGTGACGCACTGCTCGAACTTCGATGCTGACAAGGTGGGTGTGGGTCGGGAGCCAAGGCTTGTTTCTAGTGAGCAGCCTTTGCCTTTTCCCCCCGCCACGCAATTCGCGGCATCCACTTTTTTGCCGTGCTGTGCTGTGCTGCCGCTGTCCAACCCTCTGCCTTGCAGGTCCTGGCTGCGGAATCAAGGAAGGTATGATGTGTCTGGACGGCTGGCACCTGGATTTCTCGATGATTTACGGGGCTTGCAATTGCAGAACCTCATCACGGCTGTCAGTGTCGTGTTATGCCGGCATGGGATGCTCCTGCGGCTCATGAACCTCTTCAGTGGGAGCGGCACGCATACTCCACTGCTGCAGCGCTGTCCTTCCTTGCAGCTCGCACCGCTGTACAGTACTGGTGGTACGATATCGCGTGCAGGTAAGTTCTTCTGAGGCACGATGTGTGGTGGTTGTGTGGACACCTCACACGTTGTACTTTACAGATGAGGCAAGTCATATGCCAAGTGGCTGGAACACCAGACACCGGACCTGCAGCGGCTGGGCAGAGGCATGCACCCACTCATTCCTCCCTGGCACCGATATGCTCACAGGTGCGTGTTTATCACTGTATGAGCCTTGTGCGTCTCCTAATACGTGTTTGCCTTTGCCCTGCAGTTACACATGCCAGAAAGCGTTTGGGCAC